GTTCATATGACAGATCATATGGGTGGGGCATTGTGATGTCACATGGGGGGGGGGGCAAATTTTTATTTTGCTTCAGGCGGCAAAAATCCTTGCACCGGACCTGAGTTTGTATGTGTCAGTCTGTCTATCTATGTGTTTGTCAGTGTGTATCTGTCATTGTGTGTTTCTGTGTCAATGTGTATGTGTATATGTGCAAGTATGTGTGTGATTGAACAAGTGTATATCTGCATACATCCCAGCAAACAAACACCAACACTACATGCAAACACACCCATGCAATCAAACGCAAACGTTACATACAAACCTACCTGGCATTAAAACATCAAAATTATATACAAGCACACCCCTTCATTGAAACACCAATATTACACACATATGTACACACACATTTAAAAGCCAACACTACATACAAGCATACTGCTGCAATCAAATGCAAGCATTACATTTATGTTTGCTTTTGATTTAGTAAAACCTGATTATGGACTAGGCACTCTAGACCTATGCCTAATCCCAATCCCAACCAAATGTGAGGAAGTGTTTGAGGACATCCTTTAAGCAATAAGCAGCTGAGGGTGCCTGGCCTGTTGTCAGGTAATTGCTCTTGTGGAACTTCTTATTGAGCCAACAGTCATTCTCAGCATAACACACAGACTGATCCATATACACACACACTGACCTATGCACACTCAAAGTGACACATACCAAAACACAGGCTGACTCATACACACACAAAGTGACCCATACACTCAGACTGATCCCCCACCCCCCACACACAGACTGGCCCACATTCAAACACACACAGATGGACTCATACAGAAACACACACAGAATGAATTACATACACACACAGTCACTAACTCAAACACACACTGACCCATAGAAACACACACTTACAGACTGACCCATTTTCACACAGAGTGACTTATAAATCCAACCCTATGTGTCATCAGTGATGTATTTAGTATCTGTGCTGCCCTTGGCATGACGGAAGTCAGGAACCCCCTAATTTATATTTTCCCCACCCCTTCCTGTCAATGCCACACCTCTTCCTATTAAACGACTAACACACGCTGATTTGACACAAACAATCACTGACTCACTGACATACACACAATCACTGACATACACACACAATGACGCAGACACACACACTGACAGGCATACAAAATCACTCAGACACACACACATATTCACTGACAGACACTCACTCACAGACACACACTGACAGACAGACAGACACACACACACACACACACACAATCACTCAGACACACAGGCGGCCTCACAGACACAATCACTCTGAAACAAACACATATTCACTGAAAGACACACACACACACTCTCACTCACTGCCAGCCAGCCAAACACTGATATACACATACTGACAGCCAGACACACACTGACAGACATACACACACTGACAGCCCCCTCCCCCCACCCCCATTACTCTTTATATTTTAGTTTAAATCCACCCAGCCTCCCTACCTTTGGGAGTGCTGGGTGGATTTTTTTAACCTGGGGTCCAGTGGTTCTTCTTGCAGGGATGCATGCAGGCGGTTGTGCGGCTAACTAAAAATCCAGGCGGGCGAGCAGCGAGGGAGCACTGATTAGTGAGCTGTCTCTGTTCAGCTCCCTCGCATGGCGCAGAGTGATGCCGGAAGCCGGAATATGATGTCATATTCAAGCTCCCGGCATCACTCTGCGGTGCCGCCCGTCTGGATTTTTAGTTTGCTTGGCATTTGGGGGCGGCATTTTTTTACGCCCCCTGGAAATGGCAGCCCAAGGCAAATGCCTTGTTTGCCTCGCGGCAAATACTGTGTGTCATGATATGGTGGAAAATAACAAATAGGCTAGGTGCCCACTAAACAGCCTCCTCACCTGATGGGGATATCCCCTAGCCCAATGGTAAGTGTCCTGGTCCTAATACCTATAGTGTCAGAGAGTATAATATCCCTCTGGCCCTATGACCCAACCTTAATCCGTTCTTGGGTGCAGGGAACATCACATTCACAGTTGTTCCCTAAAGTGTGAATTTAAAATAAATTCAAAGTGAATTTCAAATTTAAAGGGACACTATCGTCACAAAAACAACTTTAACCTAAATGGACACTCCAGGCAGCTAAACATGTGAAGCTTAAATTTAAGCTAGTAAACTCAAAAACTTCTGGTTAGTTTCTTTTTTTTTGTCAATTCTGTGTAGTTTTCCAGCAATAAACTGTTTTGCTGATCTCAGCAGTGAATCCTGCCTCCTTAGCCACCCTCTCTCACATTTCAACATGTTCCTGATACCTAGTCTCTGAAAGAAAAGTACCTTTTTTAGCCAATTAAATTAGAGGCATGTCTTCTGTAGTGTAAGGAATGCTCACAGCACAGACTGCTCTGAAGAGACAAGGTTAGAGCTAAGCACTAGACATGTGCAATTTGTTTAGTTCCGAATGTAAATTAAGACAAATTTTGGCAATTCGGACATTTGAGTGCTTGCTGAAGTGCTTTGGAGTTCTGAAATGTGGCAAAACAAGAGAAGGAGGGATAATTATGTGAATGATGTCAGGAATCTAACCCTACCACTAACCCTAGATGTGTAAGTGGTTGTGATGGTTAGGGTTAGGGGTTAGGGAATTGCAGAAGTGCCGAATTGCTGAAGTCCCGATATCAGAAGTACCGAACCAAATTTTCTGCACATGCATATCCCTGCTAAGTACAGTATGTGTAATATAGTCTTTGTTATTCTTTTGTCTTTACTTCTGTTTTCTTTAGTTTCTTTTTACTACATAGCTTTGTGTATTCTGTTCTCCTTCCCTTGATACTTTCTTTGATATTCGTGCCCCACCCTATTCCCAATCACCCTGTATGTACTCTCCTCCCTCCCTCCCTCCCTCCCTATCTGCAATGCAAGTAATACATTCCCCTCCAGCCCCTGTCAACCAACCTCACTGCCCACTGTTAACCACTTCCCCTTCAGCCCCTGTCAGCTAACCTCTCTACCCACTGTTAACATCTTCCCCTTCCATACAGGAAGCAGGGAAAAAGCAAAGGGGGAAATTATTATTATTATTTTATTATTTATATAGCACCAGGAAAATACAATGGGTGACATGGGTTCAGGGAAGGAGCAGAAAATCTGATCAAAGTAAAGATTATAACAGGTACCTATAAAGCTAATTTTTACACTATTTAGGCAAAAAGTAGAAGGATATACATTTTTTTACCTATACAGTTCCTTTAATAGGTTAATGATGCATTTTTAGCGTATAGATCGTGCCTCTGAAGTTTCAGCGCTGAATTCACTGCTATTTAGGAGTTAAATCAATAAATGTATGCATCCCTAGCCACACCCCCAAAGCTGTGACTGACCAAACCTGTATGAAAATAAAATGATTTCATTTTCAATCAAATTTAACTTACTGTAAAAGATTTTATTTCCTGCTAGGTAAATTTTACTTAATTACATACATGATGATCTTGCAGGGTATAGCAAGCTAGTAACAAAAAAGTATTTGCACTAAAGAAAGTATAAACATTAAATGACTCTTTATAGGAAGTATTTAGGAAGGCTGTGTAAGTCACCCTGTACCTGTACCCTGTACCCAGGGCTGCATAAACAAAGTAATTTAACTCTTAAATGGCAGAGAATTGAGCAGACTTGAGAGACTGCAGAGGCATGATCATCAATACACTAAAACTGATTAATTAAGCTAAAGTTTTCCCTTTAAGTATGTTCTTTGTATTTGAAAGGGATATCTTAGGCTTCCTTACTTTTAAGGAATATTTTTATACTGTATATGTTTTTTTTTCTTTTTTCTTATAATTTATTTTACCCTTGGGCCGTGCTTCACTGTAGCACTGTAAACATAACTTTTGAGTGCTGGTGCTATGCTTGGTATCCTGACTGGTGACAGTCAGCTAGTGGGGATTGAAGTTTGAATCGCAGTGTGTTTAGAACACACTCTTGGAAATTACTGAGTTAGCAGTTAATAAGTAGTCAGAGAAAATCCTATTGTTGTTCTGTGGCTCTTCATGTACAAGCAGTCAAATACACTCTTGAATAGTGAAGATATTTGTTTCACACATTAAACACTATGAGGAACAGCCACAAAACAGACAATTGTAGCAACTTAAAAACAGACTGGCAATAATCAGGAAAAAATAGCAGCCATAAAAAATCTTGATGTCTGCGACGTTTGAGATCTTTTTTTTTTGTTTGTTTGAAGTTCGGCTATTTTAATGTAAATTTTGTTAGCATTTTCTCATGTAAATCTGGCAATTAGACTTTCTCTTTATTTCCTGTCCACATGTTTTACTGTCCTATTTCCACATTATACTCCCCTATCTAAAAATTCTAGAAATTTTAAAGGTAAGTAAAAACGATAAAAATAATAACTAATATTAATCATTAATTACTAATTAGTAATGCTGGTTCATAGCATAGGACTGAAACTCTTGAGGAGGCAGTAGGAAATTCAGCAATTTGCCTGTGCTAAAAACTGAAACCACAAAGCATATTATTGTTATATTATTTTTTGTATTCTTGTTCCAAACAAAAGATCTATTTCCTGAGGTTTGGACGAACTATATCATACGACACAGCTTAATTTAAAAAAAGATCTTCTTACAGAATTTCTTGACCAGCACAGTTACTGTCTAGGAGTGGTGAATATGTATTAAAGATGTTCGTCGCATTTTTAGTGCAGATGTATTTTGGTTTGTTAAGCTTAATATACATTTCATTTGCTTTAATATATTTCATGATAAGAAGCTGTAGCAATGGATAGCAAATTAGCACTGCGGATCAATCTGCTAACATTGGGTGACCATTCCATTAAGAGGCAAAGAAGGTAAATGGTAAAAGTGAGATAGACAGAGGAAGGAAAATTTTAAAACAAAGATCTGTGGAAAATCTCTAAAAGTGATGTAACACAGAGCAAAGGCAGGGATTGGATTGTGGAGGCTGGAACAGGGACTATATAATCTCACAGAACAAGCTCTGAAGCAAGAATTCCAGCGAAGGAGGAATCAGCACAGTGAGCAGATAGAAAGTTGGAATCTTTTCACCCCTATTCAAGGTAAAAGGATCTGGGAAGGTAAGAATGGAAATTTCACAATATTTTGCCATTCAACGTATATGATGCATTATAAAAAAAAAGTGCAAATAATGAAAATGAATCACAACATGAAACCGTATCCACTGAAAACAGTTGTGATAAATTTTACTAATGTCATTTAAAACTAACAATATCTATCTAAGAGTGTATATCCATGCTAAAAGTAACAAACACATAAACATGGATTTGATTAGCGGTGGGGGTTTAAATCCATAAATTCAATATTTGCATCTTTACCAAGGATTTAGCATTTAAATAACACATAATTGTTAATTTGATAGAATTTTTGTCATTTCACAACATATGTGTTCATTTGTTTAGTGTAAACCAATCCATTTTTTTCTTCATATAATGTTATTGTTCAAAGGGGATAAAAAATATAAACAACAATGCAAGTGATGATTTTTATTTGTAAGAAGAAAATATATAGTATAATAATAATGAGTTTTATCTATTCCACAAAGTAATGCATGCATTTGTTTTGATTAATAAATGTAGTAAGCTCTCTTCATTTCTGTGTGTTGTTTGAAGCAGTTGCTAACGCCTGGTATGTTATACATTGGAGTCATGTCCATTGTTAAACCACTGTTTATTTCTATTATTCATATACTAACTTGAGAATTCAAAGGGCATTTCACATTTAAGGCCAGAGTAGCCGAACTAAAAGCATTGCTAGCTTAGAGATTTTTTACAGTTCATCTAAGTTGTCCTTGAATTTGAAATTCACTTTGAATTCACTTTAATTTCTCATTTTAGTGAATAATCCTGAAAGTGACAATATGTTTTGCAGCACGGTACAAAAAAAGTTAAGAAAAAGATGTCAAAGATTCTAAAAGAGAGTCGCTAGTTTAGCATCGCTGCCTTAATTGAACTGTTGGTAAACTACAGCCCCCAAAAGAAAATTAGATAATCATAAGGATAGTGGGAGTAGGAGTCCAACAAAACTGTTAAAAATCGTAAAAGTAAAAAACAGAAAAACTATATTATCAATCAAGACTTCTTTACAATTTAGTCTGTTTTATAATAAACAAAAAGATTGCTACATTCGTCATCGCTCACTAATGGCCTGTAGTAAAATGGATCTACTCTGGGGGTTTTCCTAAAAAGTTTTACTCACTTTTTATATTTAAACAGTGATTTTATCCTTTTTGGTAAAATGATGATTATGAGCTGAACTCCAAATATGAACTGTTTTTTTAAGATGGCAGACTTATTTTAAGTCATCATTGTTTTAATTGTAGTTAATTGGGTCTATTTAAACTGCTTTTTAAAATTCTCAAGGAAAGATTTAGCAATAAATAAAAAAAAATTAAAAAGGGATTTTATGATTCAATATTTTTTCAGGTTATATTCCATTCAAACCTACAGTTTTCATGTTCTAAGCAATAAATATTTAAACATGTTTATCTTTTATTCCCTGTTTAGTTTTTTTTTAATTTTCTATATTTTTTAATTTACAAAAACAAGTCAGTAGAGTGATGGACTAAAATCTGTAACATAATCAAGAAGAGATGTGTATACATTCGGTATAGTTACATTTTCAGAAAAATAACAGTTCCTGTCTCAGTAATATAAACATGTAAAAAAAGAATATTCTTTATTTAAATACTTGATAGCGTCTACATTTTTAAAAACTACTATGTAAATATTCTTATTTTTGAGGGTTTTCTGATCATGCAAAAGACTAAAGTTTGGAACTTTGGTATGTTTGCATTCTTTCTGTTTACCTTATTTGCACCTTTAAGATTGTTTTAACATAAAGAACTGAAACTAAGTCTAACAGATTGTTCTGTTAATACATTTTCACATGTCTACTTATGCTGTGCAACTATTAGGTATACGTGTATAATTAATATATATCAGATATACAAAATACTAAAGGGATAGTAGGCACCATAACCACTTCATATCATTGAAGTGGTTATGGTATCTGGAGTCCTCTGTTGCCATCCCATTGTTTAGTTTCAAACCATTATCAATTTATTAACACAGAATGAGGGTCCCAAAGAGTTAGCAAATATGAAGTATAACTCTGCATCAGCAATACCAATTTAATGCTGTGGGTGGCAGTGATAGGCTAAGAGCACTCAAGTGACGCTCTCAGACTTTCACTGATACCAGATGCTGCTTTAACTAATGCAGAAATATTACTAGAAAACAGGAGAGGGGTATGGAAGCGGGGCTTCCAGGGACCCTCATTCTTGGTCAAACAGATTGAAAACAGTTTAACACTGAACAGCGGGATGATGGCAAGGCTCTAGACACCATAAACACTCAATGAGAAGAAATGTTCTTTTAAATATTGTTTGGGTGTGTGCGTAATATAATTATTGATCAATGAAAGCTTATGTATTGCTGGTCTCATTAAAGTGTTCTTTTAAATTATGTTTCATGTTTAATATTAGCCAATTTTGGTTTAGTTTTTCATTTGTCAGTTTTCGTTTAAATTGTTCCAACATCTGTGTAAAGAATTCAAAGCTTTATTTTTGAATGTAATGTCTACCTGCCATGCTGCTGTTACATGTGACCTTGCAAATCATGTGACAGTAGAAACTTCAGGATGGTAGTGTCTATATGTGTTTAGTACATAAACATGTCTGAATATCATAAATATATCAATGTATTTTTTTTTTTTTTATATCTCACAGCTACATCTCTTCCTAAACTGCTTTATTTTGTTTATGAGAATGATTTTAGAAACATAAATTCTGGTCATAAGATTGATGCAACATGTCCTCTGTTTATACACATTTTATAGAATATACATTTGATATTAATTATATCTCAATCTAAATTAATGCATCCGACATTTTAAAATATACAGATTATGTTTTATCTATATAGTGAGATCAGGTATACAGTAAAAAATAGCCACATGATATAAGGGATATCCCATTGTACATATAGACACTATAGAGGAAGATGGATTATGGGATTTTCTAAAGTTTCATTTACAGATTTTGCAACTAATTTTACTTTTTAATATGATTCCAGCTTAAAATTATGCACGCAAGCACAGTGTGAGAATGAAATCCATTTAAATATGGAACGATTTCTAGATTATAAACTCTATTTTATCTCATCATTATTTTGCCCAATGATTAAAACTGAAAGTTGATTATCTACAGCACTCGACAATAAAATAATCAGATTTAAATAAATTACTAACTTTCAGCAATAATTATGAATCCCGAAAATAGAAAGAAATTCAGGACGACCATATTTCAGCCATAGGTGAGTTGGTTTGTTAGAACCGTTAACCCGATTTAGAAATTAATCAGATGAAACAAAAGGAAGCGAAAATTAGTCAATTAGTGATAGAAGCATTTTCCAGCTAGCTGGTTTACAGATCAAGTAAGAGAAAGTAACTAATAAATGGAAAAACAAGTGAAACAATATAATTTTTTTTATATATATATTATGTATTTAATAACTATTAATATATAAATATAGATTTTATTTTTTACTGCTCCTCCTTTATTTTCTCTATTGGTCACTTATCATTTGATCTGTGAATAATACCAACATTTAGTTACGGTTCCCTATTCATCAATCACCTTTATTTCTCATGAATCATCTATTTATTTATGGTGCCATGGGCAGAATTTAGAATTTCAAATCAAAACGAACATGTTTGACATTGCATAGCTCGTTTGTATCGTGATTCTGGTACATTTTGGCTCAGAGTTATGTAATTTGACCAATCATATCGTATCTGCCCAAATATGGACTGAAAAACACTGACATTTTATTCTTTAGTTTAAGGTATAGATTTGCTGTGATACATTTTGCTGTTGTCTAACCACAAAGGGTAAATAAAAGTATTTTTTCATAAGGTACTTTACTTTATACAATCACAAGCCATCATGGCTTGTTCTCACAAGGTTTTTGTAACATTCTCAACTGAAAAAAAAACTATAAAAATGTACAATTCTTATTTTGTTATTATTATTATTATTATTATTATCCTTAATCTAGATGTCTAGCATAATTCCATAAATATTCCATAATTATCTTAGCATCACAATATACCACAATGAGAGACATGCAGTGGTGAAACGCAGAACAGATGTTCACGACTGAATGTCTCTCATTGTAGTATACACCCAGGAACTACCCCTGCTTTGACTGAGATTGTCAGGAAGGGAGAAAGCCTAACATGCAAACCTAAAGGAAACAATTAAGGAATTGTATGGGTTCTTTATCTAACTGGGGTCTTCCAGGTTGGTCAACCATCTCTTTACCTAAATAATCAAACAACTTGTTAATACACCTGGTTGGGAGGAATCATCAAACAGTAAATCAAATAAACAGCATAAACACACTTTCAGGTAACAAGCACCACAACAGGGAACGTAAACAAGGAAAACCAGGAAGTATATATACGCTATACTGTTTTGTGATTGGTTATAGAAGGCCAAGTGTGTATGCATCATCAAAAAGTGGCACCTTTTAAAATGGAAGGGTTCCATGTTATATATGATGTCATAATGAGGCACCAGGAAGCAAGGGATGAGTAGGTACACATCAGAACACAGAAGATGCATACTTTTTTAATATCATGGTGCTGCAAGGGACAGCTATCATGACATTATCAACCCTCCAGGACCACACCCTGGGCGGACAGGACCAGGAATTGAAGGAAACCTAGCATGGAACCTACAAAGCAGGTATCATTGATATCAGAAGCCCAAATCCAAGAGCCTTCTTCTTGGCTGTAAACCTTCTAGTGTACTAAGAAAATAAAAGTCCATCATAAAGTCTATAAAATATGATTCCATGGCTTTGTGGGAATAGGTAAAAGTTGCAGTAAGCCACAAGGTACTTGATGAAAAGCCTTGGCTTGGGTGCATACAGAACATTGCAAGACTCTTTAACTTCTCTTTAGAAAGACGACCACCAGAAATCATGGTGAATCAAGTCAACAGTCTTATTTTTGTTCTGCAGTTTTGGTATCATATAAATGGTTAAGGACATTAATGCTCTCCTCAAAAGGGACAAATGGAGGAGCCTGTGTTTGTGCCCTCTGAATATTCTCTAATAAAGTACTAGAAAGAACTGTTCTGGTGATAGCTACAATTCTATCATGAGGTAATGTTTGTGACTTGTCTAGATTATTAGATTCAGGAGAATCATATTGCCAGGATAGGGAGTCATGGATGCTGTCCAGGAAGTAGGAGGGTCTGGGAGGGAGGGTCTGCTGGAGATTGTTCAGGATGTGTCAGCTGACCGGAGTTCGCCGCGAACAGCTCGTGGCAAACCGCGGCGAACCGTTCGCAAGAAGATCGCGGACGGTTCGCGACATCTCTATATATGAACCCTCCAGGAGGTGTTGAAAATTCTTTCAGGGTGAGAATAATAGTCAACATCTTCTGTTCCCTATGTCATAGTTCCTTTCTGTCTGTGTCAGTTTCCCCAAAAAGAACCCACAAGGATGTAGAAGAGACTCAGGAGAGGACCTTTGAGAAAGCATAGCCACCACTCCAATTTTAGATGAATCCACTTTTAGAACAAAAGGTTTATGAGAATTGGGGTGGACAAGCAAAGGAGCAGGGGAAAATGCTTGTTTTCAAAGCCTCCTTAGACTATTGTTTGATAGTAACACTCTTTTTAGTCGTGTTGGTGATAGGAGCTATTATCTTAGAGAATCCCTGAATGAACCTTTTTATTATAGTTTCCTAAACCCACAAATCTTTAGATAGCCTTGAGTCCCAATGGCAGAGACCATTCTAGTACTGTCTTTAACTTCTTCGGGTTTATTTAAAAATACTTTACCAGAAATAGTCCCAATGGCAGAGACCATTCTAGTACTGTCTTTAACTTCTTCGGGTTTATTTAAAAATACTTTACCAGAAAAAACATTAATCTAAGACGTGTACACTAGTCTGGTCAAATACACACTCGCAAGTTTGCAATACAGACCATTCTCAAGGAGTATTTGAATTTGGGGAGTTTCAAAAGCAGGTAAATGTACACTGATGTCGTCGAGATAAAAACAAGTACTCATAGTGATCACTGTGGGTATTAAATGCAGTTTCATCACTCTCATAATCCTTACTAGACTGGAGGCACCTCTTAAATCAAGTTTAGTGGACCCCTTAAGATGGTCAAAGAGTTTAGAAATGAGTGGAACCAGATACATGTTTTTAACAGTGATTTTGTTCAAACTTCACTAGTCTATGCAGGGTCTTAGATCACTTTCCTTTTTTGAAAGAAAAGCCTTGCACCAGTGGGTAAAGAGGACCATCCAATGAATCCCTTTTAAAGTGTCTCCTGGATGTAATATTCCATAACTAGATACTCCCTCAGAGAGAAAGGATAAACCCTACCTCTAGGTGGCACAGTATCAGGCAGTAAGTTTATGGCACAATCATAACATCTAGAAGACAGACTGTTTCACCCTTATTGAATAAATTTTTCTAATTTCAGTACTGAGAAGGTACTTCAGTCGATATGGTAAGAACAGTAGGAGTGTTTATACATCTTACAGGTTTGAGCATAGACAGACATTTTCCTTGACAAGATAGGTCCCAGACTGTTATATGTTCATTAACCGAATCAACAGAGGGGTTGTGCTTGTAGAGTCAATGAAAACCCAGAACAGCAAGGGAGGATGGAGAAGAGAAGAGTTGGAGAGTAATATATAATACACCCACAGTCATAGTGATGTTTTAGGTTTCATGATTAATATGAGGATTGACAAGTGGCCTACCATCTATGACCTCTATGGCCATCCATGGCCTCAGATACTATATATACCCTATATTCGGATGCGATTGGTTACAGAGGGCTATGATATCACAAATGTGTTTACATCATCAAAAAGCACCATCATAGACTTACATTTTAAAGGAGACCATGTTATATATGATGTCATAATGATGCACCTAATGATGACGTCTATCTTCTGTCCGTACTCCTACCTCTGATGCTCGCCTTCAAGACTTCTCGAGGGCTGCACCGTTCCTGTGGAACTCACTTCCCTCCTCCGTTAGATGCTCACCCAATCTCCACTCCTTCAAAAAAATAATTAAAAACCCACTTCTTCATAAAAGCGTATAAATTAAACTGTTAATGGCTCCCGACTGATTCCTCTCTTGCAACTGTCATTAGTCTAATACTATCCTTACCCTTTGTGTCACTCTACACCACTCCCTCTAGCATGGAAGCTCATTGAGCAGAGCACTCACCCCCTCTGTTCCTGTGTGTCCAACTTGTCTGGTTACAACTACATGTTTGGTCTTCCACCCACTGTAAAGCGCTGCGGAATTTGTCGGCACTACATAATAATAATGCACCAGGAAGGTAGGGATGAATAGGTGTGCATCAGATCACATCGTGCACAAGAGATAGGTATCGTGACAGAGACCTCTTATCCAATCCTAGTCATTCAATTACTTTCACTAAGAGGAATGCACATATCCCATAAATCTACGAGCATAAAAGGTGTATGGGATCCATTTTACACCATAGAGCTTTCTGTAGCTGTATAAAGTGCAACTGCACAACCACATGTATCGCCATTAAGGAGACATTGAAATTTCCTTTACATTTCTAAAATTTAAAGGAAGTAACTTAAAAAGAATCATAGAAGTTGTTTTGTCTTATTTTCCATGAATTAAACTACTCAACCATGGCACTTATGTACATGCCATGCATGTGTGCATCTGCCATATAGCTCTCTCATAGAAATGAGTGTACACACTTGCAATTTAGGTATGTGTATAATCCCTTGCAAAATGCAAAATATCACTCAAAATGAGTTGTTTTATGTAATTTCTGTTAATGACATCATACAGCAGGATTTCAAACATTAATGGTACCTGTGTTTTTGAAGCCCTTCGGGCTTATTTAAAACACGTTTGAGTAAAAATGAATCATAATCAATTGCTGTTTTCATTACAATAAAAATATAAATAAAATTAAATACATATTGTGTACTCTATAATGACCATTTATTTACTGTTATTAAACTATTTAACACTAGATTTTAATTGGAAATAATGGGTCCCACAAATGGCATATGGAAGAAAAAATACTCTAAAGCAACATAAAGATAATAAAGAAAATAGCTAATTGTACATGTAGGTAATTTATAGCCCAACACAATCTTGAGTCAAAATAAACACTTTGTGTTGCTACAAATACTCCATTGATTGATGCACAAATTCCATAAATATAATAATAAATAAATAAATAGTAAAAATGCCCCCAAACAAATATCAATGTAGAACTGTCATATACAATGAATATGCAGAACTTTTTTTATATATTGTTAACTAGATCAAATATATAATCTGTCTTTTGAGCTCAGAAGTTAATATTTTAAGTTTATATTTCCCATCATGGACCTGGCCTCCTCCTTCTGATATCTGTAATATCTTTAAATTTTTATAGCACGGGCTGTTATAAGCTGGTGTAGATATAATGTTGGCTCGGGGAAGTACTGAAAATGCCCATTCCATCATTGGTTTTCCAGCGCGAACACACACGCACATATTTAACTCACTATATACCACAATTGCTAAAGTTAACACAGTACCTTACTGTTGTAGAGTGTTTACTGGTGGCAATTCAATTACTAAAAGGCAAGAGTGAGAGTGTACTTTGTTTTACCCAAATAAAAAACGATATATTTAATTCAAGATAGCTACAAAATACATTCTTGATTTTTTTTTTTCAATTCTTTATTTTGGATGTGCATGGGAGTTAGTAAATGAACAAGAGATATTTGTACATCAGTCAGTTAATGACTAGCATGTACATGTCTTGCAATGTGCACATATTTTTTCATTTTTTTCTATGTTATACAGAGTTAACATTATAAAAGTAGAGCAAACAGGTTAACAAGAGCCCTGTAACGAGTAACATCATTATGTCAAAGTGGGTGTCATCGGGTTGGGTAATGGACCTAAAGGTAACTGACATATATAGGCCTATAAAGTAAAGCTAGTTTCCAATCTGGGATGTGCTGCATTTTCGAGTGGGTCGGTACGTGTGGACAGCCTGCAGGTGAATGCAGTATCCCTAACCAAGGGGGCAGGTGGGGTTGCGAGGTATTGGTGCAGACTTTGGCAATCGTATATACACGAGTGCTGCATTGAAGAGGTTAAAGCCTACAGCCAACAATGTATATTACATTAGATTTATCTGCTTGCATTTCTGTTGTACACAAAACTATGTGTTAAGATTTTTTCCCCATATTCTCTTGGCCTTTGTTTCTGTTTTGTTTTATTTTCGAAGCATATGGAACCAATGTTTTGTGGTCTGTTCACCTCATCATGAGTCATTCCTTTACAGTAAATGGAAATTCATAAACACACAAATGTTGAAAAAAAACTCTTAATGTTTTTGTTTTTTCTTTTACTCTTTCGCAATTCCAGGTGTTAAGATTTTGGATGTGAAATCATTTCTTCAGATAATGTATGGTTGCGAACTCAAGGCTAACATGGCTTGTTGCTTATCCATTGTTTATTTGGAGAACATTGTTATCGTTTTGCTTGCATTTTAATTAAACAAATTCTAAAAGCGCTTTCAGGATTAATGATTAATTTATACAAATAATCAATAGACTTGTGCACAAATCCCTTCTGCTGTGTTGAACAAATCAAATGCCTGTCAATTCATGAATGACCGAATCAATTTATTTAAGATTCATTCAACCATAACTTGATGGGCATTTGGTTAATTCAGCGCAGTTTGAAAGGCATATGTGTACAAGCACATTTAAGCAGACTCAAAAAAATACTCTAGTTTGCCAAACTCCCATTTTGCACAGTTGGTTTCAGAATTATGCTTAGTGTGTACTCTTTTTGAGCAATGTGCACTCCACCAAACATGGTACACATTGCTGTTTCTCTTATGGAATATGAGAGAATTGTGCAAGTACTTTCAGGGTCAGTATAATTAGCTCTTGTTAAAGGACCACTATAGGCACCCAGACCACTTCAGCTCAATGAAGGGGTCTGGGTGCCAGGTCCATCAAGGGTTAACCCTGTCGCCATAAACATAACAGTTTCAGGGAAACTGCTATGTTTACATTAGGGTTAATCCAGCCTCTAGTGGCTGTCCCATTGACAGCCGCTAGAGGCGCTTCCGTGCTTCTCACTGTGATTTTCACAGTGAGAAGACGCTTGCGTCCATAGGAAAACATTGAGAAATGCTTTCCTATGGACTGACTGAATGAGCACGCACTGCTCTTGCCGCGCATGCACATTCGGCGGATGAAGTCAGAAGAAGGAGGAGAGTCCCAGCGCCGAGGGAGCCTGACACTGGAGAAAGGTAAAAATTTAACCCCTTCCTCCCCCTTCAGCCCGGCGGGAGGGGGGCCATGAGGATGGGGGGGGGGAGTAAAAGGACTCAGAACAACAAATCTTCCCGGATTGCCCCAGCAACTAATGCATGTGTCTATTATTATTAACATCATTAGTTGCCAGTGTGAACCAGTTATCTTGAAATTACTCCTGTCACATTTGCTTCAAATGTTGCTTGGCAAGCAGGTTTTTTGTTTTGGAACACGCAATATAATTTAGCGAGAGAAACCTCTAGTCGATTCAATACACTATATCAGTACTTTTACAACTAGATTTCTAAACACCAAACAATGCTTACAGAAAAAAAAAATAATAATAAATAAAACCAGTGTTAAAGTATTTCTAAATATGTTGTAACTTGAAATTAATATGTTCCCCTCTCATAAATGTAAATATATTTTCTGATAAACAGAGGATAAATTCCCTTTCGGATTGTCATCTTGATTTGCTATAGTTCGATTTCTGAATTTTACAATATCTCAATAGATATGTAGGATGTTTATTATATCATATAATAATATAATGTTTATCATTCCAGTATTTATAATTATCAATAAATTTGGGATTTCTGATATATATCTAAAAATATTCTCTCTTTGAGTCACTAGTGTAAAACAGCAAAGCGGTGCATCACAGTTTAGTTCACAAATGTGTCATTAAAACCCTTCTTCTTTGCTATTAGCTTTAAAGCTGCCTTAAATGAAGTTTTATTTTATTGGTATATAACATGCCTTGTTATGGCAGAAATATGTTGTTCTGTCTCTTTCTTTTATATCTGTGTTTCACTTCAGCAAGCAACAAAGACTTGACAGGCTGTAAAGTATAGTTAGAGCTACAGTATAAATAATTCTAGTACTTAGGAGGGTAGATAATCTAATATAAACTACTAAAACATAATTCAGATATAATACAAAATATGACTAGATGAGCAATAGTGAGGGATCAGTTAACCAGAGAAAAGAAAACAGAGTCATAAAATATGAATTTAAGGATTTATACGGACATATTTACCTTGCTTTTGTTAAAGGGCCATCAAGTGCTTAAAAGTGTAGAATTTCTACTTCTGACTGGAAAGATGTATTTTCAAGACATTTTTTCAGAGAAAAATAACTTCATTTGTAATGCTGAAGAATGCGTAATTTGACATGTGTAATGTTTTTATAGTTTATATACTATTGATAGTGTTTGCTTTTGTTGACTAGAGATAGTGTGATTTCTGACTCATCTTCTGTTACAATAATAGGAAATGTTCCCACCTGAAGGTGGAAAGGCTCTGAACCACTAAACAGCGCTTTCGACTTAGTATTGCTAGAAGTCGTCTTACATTTACATAATATTTATTATTGAATAAAAAATCTCTATCCACATACGCATAATCGTTTTCTTAATTAACTTGAAGTAAATGGAATGATAGATGTTTTTCCCTCTTACATACATATTTAGAAATCCTTTGAAGGACTGGATCATAGTCTGCTACTTGGGATACGTTGCAGACGGACAGGCGAGGTTTACCCATAGAACCGCAGCTATTATTGAAAGAGTCAAAGGAGGTCACAAGTTAGGATCTCCCCAAAAATACCTTAAATAGCATTAGAACTAAAAATATACACTTCCCCCTAAATCACCTTTAACCTCAGCATTTTGTTTTGGGCGCCAGTATAAGGAAATCAGAGGCAGCAAATGATACTCCTTCCAAAATCTCCACTCGTCTAATTTCAACCGCTTAATCAAGTGTCTTTTGTGTGGCAGGTGCTGAAGTTTATTTATGTTAGTATACCATACTCTATTTTTAGAAATTTGGTCTTAGGGATGAATAAACCCAAGCAAGCACATTAAGCCATATTAAATGTGTGTATTTAGGCTGCCTGTTTTATTTTTACATCCTCACGTCCAAATAATCAGGATGTGGTTATCGAAGAGGTGATAGAGACTCTTTATACTTCCACATGCATGCAGCCATAATATTACTATGTTCTTGCACATTCTATTGTAGGGGTAGATTGGGCCTGATTTTGAGAAATAGTCAGGCACACAGCCTGACACCAAAATTATACAAATCGTATCCTTTTATGGGATGTTTTACAGAAAGATAGCCTGATGTTTTTAAGTTCAGTAATATCTAGATATAAACCAGAACTATGTTGTAATCTATAATTTATGCTGCTAGTCTAGCTGCCTCATAAAGCAGAAATATATAAGAGATGGGAGATTGTGAGAAACAAAAAACAAACAAAAATAATACAATAAAGGAAAAAGATTGGGCCAAGAGAGATTATATACAAATATACAGCATGTTGTTCTGTAAGGTCCATTCCCCAGATTGAGATTCCATGAATTATGATTACCTATAAAATGTGTGTTAAATACTAGGTGCATTTGTTTTCCAACAAAACATAAAAGTTATGAAAAATTTGTTTTTTTAAATGAATATTGATCAATAAATTGAACCGAATGACCAAACTGAACGCAGAACAAATTCAGTTCTGCATCATGCGGATGTACAGCTCAATGTTTCTGCAGTACAGGTTCATTATCAAGACACAAGTTATCTCTATATATATATCTATATATCTATATGTACAAACACACACACACACACACACATATTTATACACTATTTATTTCCTGATCAAACATGGCAGCACTTACTCATGGTGTTAGCTCCTTCCCTCACAGCAGAAAGGACAGAAAATAGAACTCTGAAATTGGTATATATAGATCCACCAACTCCTCAACAGGCAATCTTTTTCCCTGTCCTTCACAGGATTCTGGAAGGAGTTTGTTTAAGCAGGCCAAGATTTTTTATTTTATGCTTACCAGGCCAATATTTTTGTGGCCCAGCAAGGGTTCAGCCTTTAAGCCCTGAAGAGCCAGCAACAGCACATATCTATGAGTCACTAGTCTGGTTATACACTTTTGTGACAGAGGGCCTGACCCAACTCTCTCCCTCAGGGTATGAAAGCGATCCACTGCATAAATGAGACACAGGTGGGGTTTAGCCTCTTATACCTGAAGACCCAGCAACAGCCCATCTCTGAGTCGCCAGCCTGGGTACCCCCTTTTGTGACTGGGGGTCGGACCCAACTCTCTGCCTGAGGGGATAAAAGTGATCAACTGCATGCATGAGGCCAAACTGGGCCTAGGGCTCTTTTCCCTAAAGACCCAGTAAACAGCACATCTATAAGGTGACTACCTGTGTATGCCTCTTTTATGTATTCCACTATGTCTAGGGTTTGTTTTAAACTTTCCCCCACTTTTGATAACGACTGGCATATGATGTATAATAATCCGTTTCCCATTTGAAATATACACATCTTTAATTTTACCACATGACAGGAGGCTTCCTATTTTGCATATAACTCTCTTTACTAACTCCACATAGCAGTAAAGAAAAAAGTGAAAACGATAACCAATCAAAATGCAATATGCTGTATGGTATTCACAGTGATGAGGCTCCTCCCCCTATTTCTTTACTGCTCCATCAGCAGACAGGTCAGAGTTTCAGCTCTTCCTCTTCATTACTGTTTGTTTGACTAAATATATTGTACCTTTAACTTTAACTTTATGTTATTTATATGACTATTGCATCCTATCCTATATTCTGCTCTTTATCTCTTTCCACAGGGACTCCTGTCCCTGTATTCTCTGTCTCCCCTTATCTGTGGGGCCCTTTTTCTAGGTTCTTTCCTCCGCCAGCTTGGCGACCGTTTTTCTCGAGCTATCCGCCGCCCAAACGGCGGATTGCTCATTCCAGGACACCTTTGGGGTAACGCTCACCCCTTTCATCCACCCTCACCCCGCGGTCTCTCGACCGCGCACATCCCGACCGGCGCTCACGGGATTTTCGCTCCCGGCGCCGGCGGCCATCTTGGATCTCGCATCTCGCGAGATCCACGGCCGCCATTTTAAGCCCCACCGAGCCACTTGCAGACAGTGCCTGGCTCCTACTTACACCCGGTCACCCTCAAACACGTCCCAGACATTCTTCTAGCAAGTGTGTTGAAGGCAGGGGTCACAAGGTCAGTTAATTCAGTCTGTGTACTAAAGCACAATAGGGTTGCAATACCCTGTGCTCTTGGGGTGCGGCCCCTAATATTTATGCTGCTTATGAGGTGTGACTATACATCCTCCATATACCTGGGTGCGGCCCAGTGAAAAAACCCAAATATACCCTGCTGGGGTTACAGGTACTGCTGGTACCAAGTGCTTTTACCTGAGTCTTTTATTATTACACCCTGCTGGGGGTTTTGGTACTGCCGGTACCACTGCACGTAATTACTATTCGCCCTGCTGGGGTTGAACTGGTACTGCTGGTACCATTATTAATACAGACTGACCCCTGACCCTATCTGCGCCCTGTGCCAAGTAAAAAAATTTTTGTGGTCAATATTTTCATCATGGATTCTTCTCAAAACACTGCTGAATTTCAAAATATGATCAGTGAGGCTATAGCGGCCTCGATGGAGAAGGCACTCTCCAGGGTTCTGACGGCCTCTGCCGAACAGAAAATCCCTGCTAAGGTCCAGCAACAGGACTACGATTCCGAGGCTTCGGAATCACACACACAAGCCGATACTCGGCCCTCTAAACGCCACTGGAAGGGCGAAAAGGGGAACGCCAACCCCACAAGGGCAAGACCCCTATAAAAAGGCGTAAGCCAGCTCCGGCTGTCCCTTCCCCAGGACGCAATTACTCCTCAGACGAGGAGGGGAGACACTCGCCACCCATGGCGATTTTGGACTCATGGCAGGCCATGGATTCCGATTCCCAAGAGGAAAACGCCTGGGACTCGGAAGATGAGTCACGCCCTGGTTTCCTACAGGGCACCTTCCTAGACAACATTCAACTGCCGGACGACCCGGCACAAACGCAGGACGAAGGCGAAACCATCCTGGACCCCTCGGGCCAGCGATTATTCGACCCACGGAACATTCGACACCCGCGTTCGGGGGACTGGACACCCCCCGAACACCTGGCGAGGTTCATGCACAAGTGGCTACGCAAACCATTGGATAAGACGGTCCGCAACCGCTTGCGTTCCGAATGTCCTCGCCCCTCACTACCAGATCAAGTGGCTCAGACCCCAGAATTCGACCAGGTCATGACCACCTTTATGTCTCGGGGTGGTCGGGATCCCCGTAAAGGGGTGGAGAAGGGTTTCCATAGCGTACAAGACAAGTTGCTGGATGCGATCGGCCCCCTCTCCCGCATCATGTACTTGGCGGATGACGCCCTCACCCGAGCTGAACAGTTTGATACCAACATGGTACGTGAATGGGCTCACGACGTAAGAGAATGGGCGCAACGCTGTTTTTGTTTTGTTGGCAAGCTGTTCGGGGACACTTTCCTGAAGGACCTGAACAGACACGTGAACGTGTTCACGTCGCTTAACAAAGCTCAGACCACCATGAAGCGGGTCTTCAGGAATAACCCTAACCGGGGCGTTTTTGGATGGGCTGGCCGCTACAGGGGCCGTGCAGCCAGCCGCTTTTGGCCTTCAGGCCCCCGCTCACAAAGACCTCAACCATTCTACCCGGAAGTTGGCTACAGACAGCCTTTCTCCTACACCAGGGGAGCCGACCGAGGTCGTGGTTCAAGGGGCCGTGGCAGAGCACGCTTCACCCCCACAGGTAAGCCAATATGTGACTCACGTACCCCTTACTTCACAAACGGCAGGTCGTATTGCTCTCTATTTTCAGAATTGGACAACCATTTCGACGGACGCATGGATCCTGCAAACCGTACAGGGCTACGTCATAGACTTCGTGGGCCACCCGAACCAAACGGTACCTCCTTACCCCGGGACATGTTCCTCGGAAGACCATCGACTCATACAAATCGAGTTGGAGGAACTCCAATCGAAAGGGGCGATAGAACCCGCTCACGATCAGGGGGGATTTTTCAGCAACATCTTTCTGGTAAAGAAGAAGACCGGGGAATTCCGTCCGGTCATAAACCTGAAAGGCCTCAACGCATTCGTCGTATACAGGCACTTCAAGATGGAGGGCATACATCTTCTGAGGGACCTCCTCCAAGACGGGGACTGGTTCACGAGACTGGACCTCAAGGACGCGTACCTCTCGGTACCCGTCCACATCGACCACCGCCGATTCCTCAGATTTCGGTGGCAAGACCGGCCTTGGCAATTCACGTGCCTTCCCTTTGGACTCAGTTCAGCCCCGTGGTGCTTCACCAAATTAATGAAGCCAGTAGTCGCACATCTTCGAGCACGAGGGATTCGTTGCATTATTTACCTGGACGACCTGCTTCTATTCTGCTCAGACAAGTCCAGACTGACTCAACACACACAATTTACCGTAAACTTCCTGACATCACTGGGCTTCGTGGTCAATTTCCTGAAGTCAGAAATGTCTCCAGCTCAGACGGTGCAGTTTTTGGGCTTCGAAATAGACTCCAAGTCCAGCACGTTACGCCTGCCGACGACAAAGATCGCGGCCATCAAAAAAGAATTACGCAGAGTCATTCGCTGCCAATCCATTCCGCTCCGCAATCTGGCCCGGATTGTGGGACTACTATCCGCGTCCATACAGGCCATATTCCCGGGACCCCTGCACTACAGAGCAATGCAACGCCTGAAGACCTCCTTCCTGCACCGGAACCCGTCTTACGACCAAACTATCCCGATTACGGAGGAGGTAAAGGAGGAATTCAGATGGTGGCTAGACAGCATGGAGGCATGGAACGGCCGAGCCATCTTCGGGAGTTCGCCCGACATAGTTCTGGAATCGGACGCCAGCCTTTGGGGCTGGGGCGCGACGGGCGAAGGCAAGTCGACAGGAGGCGCCTGGACTTCTCAGGAAATCGACCTACACATAAACTGCCTAGAACTCCTAGCAGGCTCATTCGCGATTCGCAGCTTAGCAAAGGACAGATCGAACTGTTGCATCCTCCTCCGGATGGACAACGTCTCCGCGGTTCGATACATCAACCGCCTGGGCGGAGCTCGGTCCCGACTGTTATCCGAAATAACGAAGGAGATTTTCAACTTCTGCTTGCCCCACAACATCTCCCTCAAGGCGGATTACCTTCCGGGGGAGACAAATCTGACGGCAGATTGGTTTTCACGCCATTGGCGGGACAGCAGCGACTGGAGACTGGATCCTCAGGTCTTCCAACGCCTCTTGAGCAGGAGAGGTCCCCTCCAACTGGATCTGTTCGCATCTCGCAACAACAGACAGACACTCAACTACTTCAGTTGGCTCCCGGACCCGGAGAGCGTGGCGGTGGACGCATTTCTCCAATCATGGCCAACCGAGGGAGCATACGCCTTTCCCCCGTTCGCCATGATAGCGAGGACGATTCCATACCTGAAGAATCAACACGGATCTCTAGTCCTCATCGCTCCCCTATGGCGGGGCCAACCATGGTTTCCGGACCTCCTGGCACTGTCCTACGCCGATCCACTTCTCATACCATCCTATCCGATGCTCCTCGTGGATCCGAAGGGGAACCCCCATCCTCTCATCCTCGAAGATCGCCTCACCCTGGTGGCTTGGACGCTTTCAGGGGAGCCTGGCAAACCTGCGATTTATCGCAAACGGCTAGAGACCTCATATGGGATTCCTGGGCACCTGGGACCAGACGATGCTATCTATCAGCTTGGAGCTCCTGGGCCTCTTGGTGCAGTATACGGAACTTCGATCCATTTACAGCACCTGTAACAGCCATTCTGAATTTTCTTTCACACCTTTTCTCTACGGGTCGCTCCTACCGCTCGCTTAACGTCGTGCGCTCGGCGATTTCGGCGGCTCACGTCCCGAACTTAGGTATTCCCGTTGGGAAGGACCCTCTGGTATGCCGTGTCCTGAGGGGTATCCGATTACAGAGACCACCAGGACCTAAGTACTCCCACATGTGGGACGTGGAGGTGGTCCTACGGTTTCTGAGAGATTGGCCGACTAATGACAGACTGTCTCTCAGACAACTCTCGGCCAAACTGACCCTCTTACTTTGCCTCGTTTCCTTCCGTCGGGTTTCGGACGTGCGTGCTTTCGACATCAATGCCTTTTCGGTGTCCCCTGAGGGAGTTACCTTCCGCGTATCACGACGTACCAAATCGGACTCTACGTCGGTCTTTTATCCCTTCTTCGCTACTGAACCGCAGCTATGCGTCGTCTCTACCCTGCATCAGTACGTGGAGACCACTGCCTTGCTTCGGGCCTCTGCCTCGGGACAGTTATTAGTATCCTATGTCAGGCCACACGTTCCCGTTTCGACTACCACACTCGCCAGATGGGTACGATGGATCCTATCTCTGGCGGGTGTGGATGCTAATTTCGGTGCACACTCAGTGCGCGGGGCGGCGGCCTCCTCGGCTTTCTCGGCAGGCGCGTCCCTGGCGGATATCCTTCGGTCAGCTGACTGGTCGAGGGAATCTACCTTTCGGACATTCTACTTTCGCCCGAGTTCAGGTGCGGCTATGTCTCTTCTACATCAGCGTTAAAAAATGCAAAATAGGAAGCCTCCTGTCATGTGGTAAAATTGAAGATTATGCTAGCGTTAGTGTATTTATAATCTTAATTTTAGTAATGACAGGAGGCGAGTATTTTCCCACCCTTTCCCTCCCTTGGGAAGAGTGGATGCACGTAAGTATATTTCTATATTCCGTTGTCTTATCTGGTATCTATACCTTCGTCTCCTCTTGGTTTGGGATCTGTTATGTTCAGGTTATTATGCATTAACCTTTTAACCAGGGGGTCTCATATTGCTTTATTATGTGGGGTCGATACTGCAATCAGTTGAAAGATCGGTGCCTAATCCGTTTCACGTTCTCGTTTCAGTTTAAATCCATGATGTTCACAGATCCTTCTCAGAGTGGACACAGTTGAATCATCCTTCAGCTCCTGGAGCCTCGTTAATGGGACACATCAACCGCTGCACGTTGCAGGACACTCTGAATCAGTTCGCACCCCGTGAAAGTCTGTTTTTATCGATGGGAATCACACGTTGGTGCACGTTATACATGTTTGGACGTTATTGTTTCTTGAGTTTTGCCTGATGTCGCTTCCGAAAGAGGGGGAGGAGCCTCATCACTGTGAATACCATACAGCATATTGCATGTTGATTGGTTATCGTTTTCACTTTTTTCTTTACTGCTATGTGGAGTTAGTAAAGAGAGTTATATGCAAAATACTCGCCTCCTGTCATTACTAAAATTAAGATTATAAATACACTAACGCTAGCATAATCTTCAATTATCGTGTAATATTTCAGAGTTTCATATGTAATCATTTCAGCATATTACTTTAAATAAAATGTCAAAAATATTGCCCATACCAATCCAAAACAAAAATGTCCAAGGCATGTCTCTGCATCAAATTCTTGAAGCAAGGGAATTGCTGATAACAGGCTAAGTGCATCAGATCTAAAGTTTCAGCACACAGATATCTAAATTGCCATTTGAATTGCTAACCAGAAGTCAGCTTTTACACATAGCTGTTAGTGGCATTGGCATTTATACACATATGGCGGTGCCATGTAATGCATGACAGGTGCATAGTCGCCAAATGGACAAGGGGAGGGATATATGACTTGAACCCAACCCACCCAATAATACACTGACACTTAGGGTTATGGGTTAAATTGTCCACAGCTTTAATGATAAGATAACAATAAATATATATATAGTCATTACCTGCCACGCCCCAACTCTTGCATCATCTTTTCCATATTTACATCAAGGTAATGACCCACCACATAATACATTTCCAATATACAACCATCATATCAAATATAACATGTAACATATCAACATTGATCAATTTCCTGGTAGGGGTATACCCAGATTCCCCTACACCACCAAGGTTCTGAGCCACCAATGGACTCGGAACACCACCGAGGTTCTGAGCCACCAAAGGACTCGAAACCTACCAAAACATGTACAAACAGTGTACCCTTTTAACCAATCAACTAACCAATTAACTAACTCCCTTTACTCATCTCTTAACTCAGGCCCATTATCCTTAATGTTCCTTACCCCACCCCGCCGCTGTGACCAAGCGGAGAAAATTACAAAGGGAGGGAGGGACCAACTCTGCTAGGTAAGAAATTAGAGTGAGGGATCCTAAAATGGCTGCCCCTTTATATCAGCCAACCCCCAAGCACTGCTCTGCCAATCCCTTACTGCTCTCACCCCTTAGCCCGCCTCCTAGCCCTGTCAGGGCCCTATTCCCTAAGCTGTGCTTTTTCCAGGGGCTTCAGTTGTGACAATAGCTTGTGATGGCTAAGAATTTATGGGAACTATATTACCTGTAATAACTGTATATCTGATACTGTATTATCCTTAGTACATGTTACAAATTAAATAAATCACAGACAGATAATAGAAATAATTAATTGTTGGGCATTGAAGTGTATTTTAGGCCATATTTAAAACAGTTGAAAACAGACTTGTAGATTGTTTTTCAGTTTGGCTATTATGGTCTAAAACAAAACTATGATCTAGAAGTGTAGTATGGCACAATACCAAAAGATAAAATAGTTTAACCTAGAGCAGCTTTCACTAACTTTTACTAGCTTGGTACGTAAACAAGTGCTTCCCTACTTGCTGAGTGACCAGGGAAGAAGTGAGAATGTGTAGTGATGATCACACAAGGAAGGAAATTGTGAAATAGTTTAACACATTAAAGTAAGATGGCATCTGGTAATTCTAGACCCTATAACACCTAAATTAAGTGGCCCTTTAAGATATGTGTCACCAGGGCCAGATATGGAGCCCAGTGGGCCTGGTGCTGACAATTATGATGGGCCTAATTACAAAATCTTATTTACCAAAAACACTAAAACAGTCCTACCGCCTAAGCGTCATGTATCTGATGTAGATGGTGCTGGAGGGAAACTCATAGGATGCAGCTATAAGAAAACACATACCCTATGCTAATCTCACGCTTTCATCTTCAAGTAAACCCATACCCCCTAACAGCAGTGTCCAATAAAGCAGGAAGTCTATGGATGGGGTAAAAGGGTGGGCCACTGACACAAATCTGCCGAAAGGAGCGAACAAACACAAAAAGGGGGCATGTCTGTGTCCCCATGTCTCCCAGTTCCTTAGTGTCTGTGTACCCATGTCTCCCAGTGTCCCCATGTCACTAGGGGACATTGAGAGACATTGGCACACTGGGAGACATAGGGACACTGAGATACTAGGGAACACTGGGAGACCTGGGGACACAGACTCTTGGGGACACTGGGAGACATGGAGAAATGGGGATACTGGTTGACTTTGGGACACGAGGGGACATGGGAGACATGGGGCACTGAGACACTGTGATACATAGGGGACACTGTGATATATAGGGGACACTGGAGACTTGATAAAGACCTGGGTACAGGTCAAAACATTGCGGTGTCCAATAAAACTGCTTAAATCTATCACAGTGAGTGCCTGATATTTTTTCTTTTATACTAGGGGACACTGAGACACTAGGAGACATGGGGACACTAGGAGACTAGGGGACTTTGAGAGACTAGAAAACACTGAGACACTAGGGACACTGGCACACTGAGTGCCTGAGATTTTTTTCTTCTATACTAGGGGACACTGAGACACTTGGGGGCACTGTGAGACATGGGGAGACTGAGAGACTAGGGGACACTGAGACACTACGGACACTGGGAGACATGGGGCACTGAGGCACTGTGATACATAGGTGACACTGGAGACTTGATAAAGACCTGGGTACAGGTCAAAACATTGCGGTGTCCAATAAACCTGCTTAAATCTATCACAGTGAGTGCCTGATATTTTTTTTTATACTAGGGGACACTGAGACACTAGGAGACATGGGGACACTGTGAGACTAGGGGACTTTAAGAGACTAGACAACACTGAGACACTAGGGACACTGGCACACTATGGACATTGAGAGACACCAGGGACACTGGGAGACATGGGGATACGGAGATCCTAGGGACACTGACTGGGAGACATGGGGACACTGGAAGTGCCCCATGTCTCCCAGGTCTCAAAGTTGCCCAGTGTCCCCATGTTTCCCTGTGTCCCCATGTCTTTCAGTGTCCCCTAGCGTCTGTGTCCCCATGTTGCCCAGTGTCCCCTAGTGTTTGTATCCCCATGTCTCCCAGTGTCCCTTAGAGTTTGTGTCCCCATGTCTCCCAGTGTCCCAATGTCCCAATGTCACTAGGACACTTAGAGATATTGGGACACTGTGAGACATGGGGACACTGAGACACTGGGATACATAGGGACACTGAGAGAATAGGGGACTTTGGGAGACTAGGGACACAAACACTAGGGACATTGAGAGACAACAGGGACACTGGGAGACATGGGGACACTGGGAGACTAGGGGCCACTGGGAGACATGGGGCCACTGTGTCCCTAGTGTCTCAGGGTCCCCATGTTCCCCAGTGTCCCTATGTCTCCCAGTGTCCCAATGTCTCAGCGTCACTAAGTCTCTCACCGTCCCCATGTCTCGCAGGCTCGGAGCTGCTGTCTGGACTCTCTGTGCAGAGATGCTCCCCGCAGATCAGTAAGTAGAGAGAGGCAGGGAGGGAGATGCTGTAACTTATTATCCCTGCCTCTCTCCACACAAACAGCGACTAGCCGGCGCTGGTATTGCAGAATAATCTCTGTTTATACTGAGACAGACATTTGTATTGCCGGTATTACTGCAATATCGGCACAGGCTGGGCAGCCTCAAATACCTGAGAAATACTTCTGAAAAATACCTGGCAACAATGAGAAATACATGAGAAATACCTGGCAACACTAGGAGTAGTGTGTGTGTGTAAAAAAAAAAAATATTATTTTTTTATATCAATGGGCCTATTCCATGGGCCTGGGCCTGGGCCTGGAGCTGCAGCTCCATCAGCCCCTATGTTAATCTGGCCCTGTGTGTCACACAGAGTACATTGTATAATGCATTTAACAGGACCTCATATATCTTGTACTAGTCATCATAAGAACAACTATTTCCTAAAGATCCTGCAATAAAACATTACATATGTAACATTTCTTTAGAACATATTTTACTATCAAGAATACATTGAGATTTCTATAATTTTAAGGTATATAATTGATTGCGGAAAATGCTATTTTGTTATAAGGTAAAATAGCTTGCTGGTAAAAAGCTGTATTTCCTATCTCTTCTATGTCATGTGGAGTTAGGTATTGTTAAAATTATGCTTTTCCTAAAAATTATCTTAAATTATACTGAGCGATTTCAATATTATGCATGTTTTTGGGATGGGGCCTGACAGCCAACTGAAACGGAAGCACTTGTTTGGAGCTACACAGAGAAAACATGTAAATAAGCCTATTATTCAACAAAAAAAAGCCTTATCTTATAAAGCTACATTTATATTAAGCAGCTATCTCTCCTGTGGTACACTCTGCCAAGGGTATAACTCTCATTTACCATTACTGGTGGGCACTCCCTATGCTAGACTGCTCTGTGGCTTGCAGACATATCCAAGGCTGGTGAGATGGCAGATCCACTGCCCGGGTTTTGATTTCAGCCTTGAGACCTGTATATATCCCGGTACCCACTGCTGTAGTATCGAAGCCTTCTTTGGATGACTAGTGGTACCTAAAATGGAAAATCAATGCCTGCTCCACAAGATGGCCATTACCTCGAGGCCTACTGCTCCACATGCTTTCACACAACTGATTTCCAAGGTGGATTTACTTCTACTGGCTTTTGTCACACTGTGCTAACAATTCTGGGAAAAGCTCAACAAGTGACTACGTACTGAGACACAAAAGAGCCAATTCAAGTCCTACCAGAATATCTTAATATCTCCTAATCGACGATGTAAAGTCTATCCTGAATATTTCCAGTGCAGCATCGTGGAAGATGAGATGTAACTAGTTGAGACTGGTATTCACTTGCCAGATTCACCTAAGCTGCTATCCATACGGGGTTGAACCCCCATGCAGAACTCTTTAATTCCATATTGGAAGACAAACATGCTGGGAAGACTAAGTGAACTAGATCTGGTCACTAGTTGTTGTTGGATTCCTGAGAGCATTCTGCAGGATTGCTGGTGGAGTGCACTTATGCTGTTGGCTGGGCTTGTGGGGTTCTGTTGGTAGCAACTTTCCCATCGCTGGCATTGGTTGAGTAGGCCAAAGACCCCTTATACAATAATGGATTGGAACTAGAATCTAACTTTACCATCAAGGCAAAGTACCATGTTTTATGCTTAGTCTAGTGTTAACCTATAAACCATTTCCCTAACCTGTGCAATATTATTTCACTCATTTAATCCTACTTTATTAACTCGACTTAACTAGCTTAGAAAACCTTCTAAGTTAAAATTTCAATTTTCTTGCATTAAAGTACTTTTAATAGTTTCCTGGCATCCTCATGTTACTGTTATTCTCTTTTAATATACAAAGCGAGATGTCTTTACATGCTGGTATTGTTTGCTTATAGTAATAACGTGATATCTTAATTTGTACTGTGATTTCTTATGTTACCATTATATCAAAATTAGGTTTACAATCTGTATACTACCATTTGTATTTCTCAAATGTTTCTAAATCTTATGACCTCTCTTTCCTTATACCTCATTAAATATATGTTTGATATATATATGTTAATATATATATATATTTATATATATATATATATATATATATATATATATATATATATATATATATATATATATATATATATACTATATAATGCATGTTTTTTCCTTTGATTAACCCCTTTATGATTGAATTGTGTTTTTAAGTAAATGGGATAAAAAGTGTAACCTTTTTTTGACGGATGGGATGACTGGGATGCAAAATATCAAATATGGTAGTGAAGGTAGTGAAGGGGTTAATTTCTGGAATGGAAAGTAACTAATTTCTCAACAAATGAACACATTGTCAGTCTGTACAGAGGTAGACTATTTTGAGTTGTCTCTTGATGTACATGGATCACATTTTCAATATGTGCTAACAAAAATATATTTTCAGATGCTAGAAGTGAGCCATGTAACTGTCTGTCTTGTCCTCGCTGTCTGTCTGCTTCAATGGACTGCTGGGAGGGGGATTCTCACTGAGGCTTCTACAGAGGTATGTAAGTAATAGAAAACTGCTGTTATACTGCTGGGAAACAGATTAACCAGTCATTAACATTAGCCAGTCATTATCTCTGCTGATGGACAGTTTGGCCAATATTAACTAGCCATCATTCCTAATTTCCACTTAGGCTCACTGCTGCAAAACAGCTTAGCAAGAACTAACTAACTAACCATTATATACATTTTCCCTAATCACCAATTTTTTTTTTTTTTAGAAATAGGTATCGGTTAATATTAAAATAACATGTATACATTAAATCAGATGCTTAGCTGGTGATTTGCTCATTTGACTACATTAAGTGATTTTAATTAGTTAAATAGTTAAATACAGTCCCCATCACTCTCTAAATGACCCTACTAAGTTATTTGCTAAAAACTGACCACCAGAAATATCGTTTTGTTTTTATACGTGTGTATTAGCGCATGCATGCACATGTGCCCAAACACGCGATGCGCCCAATGTATACACTATACAGGGTCTATAATATTTGTGTAATGTGAGTACATATGGGATAAATGGATAAGTGCAAGGATTATACAATACGTGAGGGAAAATGTCAATGTTACTTATAAAGTTAGTTACCTATATATAGTAATCTGGGTTGAAAAAAATACTAGATTCCAAAGCGGAGATACATTTACCCCAAGTATGAAAACTAATGCTATTTTAGCAACTTCATGTGATAATTCTTGGAAATTTTTATTTTGTTCCAGTTTGGCCAACATTTGTTGTGTATTAGCATATTAACAATACTGTTAGCAATACAGACTAGTATTCAATGAATGCTAATCTTGGTTGCCTCAATGGCAGTCTTGATGTGACTTCACTGCCACTTTGAATTCTAAGTCTTTTTGTACTAATCTTGTCTTCTGGTTAGAAATGATATGTTTAATAAGACTTTCATTGTATTAGTACTTGTCTATGTCTGTATCAAATATCTCATATAGGTGCAAAGAAATGCTCTCTCAAAAGATCTGGCTTCTTGTAGAAGTGTTTCGATAAAAATCTATATTTAGTATAAATGCGCAATATGCATTTAATTTTACAGTCATTTCACTCTACAATTGTTTTGGATGTGGGTTCACAGTCAGTATCCAGTGAAGAAAAGTCAGCAGCAGACTTGGCAGCTAAGCTCCTGCTTCTAGATGAACTGGTTTCTCTGGAGAACGATGTGATCGAGACCAAGAAAAAGAGAAGCTTTCCTGGCTTTGGATCTCCTCTTGACAGACTTTCTGCAGGTTCCATCGAATTAAAAGGAAAACAGAGGTGAGTTGTGTCATGTAATCTATTAGGGGGTTATGAACTAGTGCATCTGTCAAGTTATTTATTTTCCTAGACATTTAAATGCCAACCAATGAAAATGTACACACCATTCTATAACTGAACTACTCTTACCCCTGGGTTCTTACCCAGAATTGATTTACCGTATTTTTCGGTCCATAAGACGCACCTAGTTTTTAGAGGAGGAAAACAAGAAAAAAAATTAGGTGAACTAAACTATTTAATAAACTATATCATAATAATATTTCAAGCATGTAAAGTGAACAGCAGTCAACAGTGACATTATAAACAATCACACACACACACACACACACACACACAGTCTGTTACACACACTGGCTGTTACACACACACACACACACACAAACACACACACACACACTCTGTTACACACACTGGCTGTTACACACACGCACACACGCACTCTGGCTGTTTCACACACTGGCTGTTACACACACTGGCTATTACACACACACTCACTGGCTGTTACATAAACTGGTTGTTACACGCATACACACTGGTTATTACATTTACACACACAAACACACACTGGCAGTTACACACATTGGCTGTTTCACTCAGACACACACATTGAAAGGCTATTACACACACACTCACACATAGGCTCTTACACACACACACACACTCACTGGCTGTTACATACATTGGTTGTTACACACATACACACTGGTTATTACACACACTTACACACACACTGGCTGTTACACACACTGGCTGTTTCACACACACACACACACATTATTACAATCACACACAGGCTATTACACGCACACTCACTGGCTGTTACATACACTGGCTGTTACATACACACTTGCTATTACACTCACTCACTGGGTCAAATATACATACTCACGGTTTCCTATCATTGCTCCATGCAAATCTTGCCAGGTTTTGCTGCCCTTGTCTTTCCCACAGCACTCGCTGCCAGGATATGACATCAGGTATACCAGCCTTCAGCTCTTAAAGAGCTGCAGCGCTGTTCGCCGATACGCCCATCTGGATACATTTCAATGAAACAACGGCACCACAGCAAACGGCCGGGTAAATGATTCACTCGGGCATTCAGCGAATGACCGGTGGGAGAGGGGTACTCTATGCTCCCACCTCTTGCCGGTCACCTAGACAGTTTTGGCTGCTTGTGCTACCTTATGGTAGTGCCGGCCCTGCACACATTTGCTCCATAAGACGCACAGACATTTCCCCTTACTTTGAGGAGGAAAAAAGTGTCTTATGAAGCGAAAAATATGGTATGTTAATTTAGTAGGTCACCGGTGGGAGCAAGTGGAACAAAAAAGTCGGTTTGGGCACATCCACTAGTTTCTTCAGCAGGTAGACTTTATTATGGAGTACACAAATTTAGACAACGTTTTGGCTTCCCTGAGCCTTTGTCAAGTACAATTTCTGTACTCCATAATGAAGTCCACCTGCTGAGGAAACTAGTGGGTGTGCCCTAACCTACTTTTGTGTTCCACTGGATTTGTCTGGGCTGGGCCACTGCCTGTTTTGGAGCACCCTAGTGGGAATACTCCCAGAAAAAGTGTGTGTGCAAGGTCCTCTGAAAATACTACTAAAAGACTGGTGAGAGCAGGGACATCACTTTTATCACGCTGTATTTCTGGTGCCTGCAATAGATTGTTTACTGTAGCAGCACTGCATTTAATGAAGTAGGAGAAAAGTGGATACAACTTTAGTACAGAGAAGAGTCCAGTAATGTTTTGCAAGTTTTATAAACAATACCAGAGATTAGTATAAGCACTAAAAGATCAACTATAAATGAGTAGAAAAACAGGCTGCAAACACTGATATTAAGGGATACCCTCAACAAAACAATACAAAACACAAATACAGGTTGCACCAAATACAAAGTCCAATAAGTCCACAAATGCTTGGGAATGTTAGTATAATCCTCACCAGGGATATATTATGTGAGGTAGATCCTCAGGGAATGCTCCTCTCCAGGGTATTTGTATCAAGTAACTATTTAACAATACAGATGTGCCAGGCACAATAAAAAATAAAATAACTTAAAAGCGTAAAAAGTGTAATAAATGGTCAGACACATAAAATAATGTCAAACACACTTTAATGCTAAAAACTAATTTTATAACAACACAGCGCAATTCACCAATGGGGGGAGTGGGAGGGAGGGCTTTTTCAAAGTGTAAAGTGTAAAAAAGTTATTCTGCCAAAAAAAAAAAAAAAATGCCAGCAAGGAAATATTCCACAACACCGTCTAAAAATATGTAAATCTATATATATACATATATATAATATGTATAAAGGAAGGATGCACTCTCCGGTCTTTCAAACAGTAGAAAAGTATTTAATCCATCAAAAGGTATACAATAATATGATCGACGTTTTGACCCATTCGGGTCTTCCTCAAGATCAGCATGTAACCATAAAAGCAAACTATATATAGGATCGTGATCACGTTGCGCGTGCGTGATGACGTGAGCGTGGTTGCTAGGAAACCAATGTATACAGTAAACGACCGGTCTAGAATATTTCCGTGTAGAGTGAATGATAAACTCTGTGGGACTATCTATTAGGGTATATACAAACATGCTATATACAACGTGAAAATCACTGTGGAACAAGTATGTGTGAGGCATCCTATGAGTTGTGTGTAGTGAAGAAAGAATCAGTGCCAACTGTATATACAAAAACATCAGTGAAAAATTGTGACATGCCCCATAGTGACAAACGTGTATATATCTATACAAAAATTAAAAACAATGTTATTATACCATAGGAAGGGAATGTACCAAAATTACTATTGTCTAGAAGGCCAGTAAACCAACAATACGTTATTTTACATAACTTTTTAAATATCTTAATAGATCATTTAGGCTTGAGTGGGAACATAGGAACCTAGTGCTATAGACAGATATATTTATACTTATATTATACATATATATAAATATATATATTTGTACCCACATTGTATATCTGCTGTAAGGCATTTTTACTGGTCAGTGGTTTATTTACTCCTGTTAGCAAACAAGCTTCATTTTAGTTTATTGTATGGCTTGGCACTAGAATCTTACTAGAATCTACTATATATATAGTTTTTGTAAATATTTTATTATATCTTTTCATGTGACAACACTGAAGAAATGACACTCTGCTACAGTGTAAAGTAGTAAGTGTACAGCCTGTGTAACAGTGTAAATTTGCTGTCCCCTCAAAATAACTCAACACACAGCCATTACTGTCTAAACCGTTGGCATGATATATATATGTTACTATCCCTTTAATTTTTCCTTCTCTTCTCTAAGCTACACTGCTTGGCAGCTTTGCAAGTACTTAGAAGCCTAAGTACTCTGGCTGGATTTCCTCTTTGCCTCTTGAACTCAACAAATTGCATTTTTCCAATGTCAATAAACCTTTGGCACCAGAAAGGCTAGGCTTTTGCAAACATCAGTAGAGCTGCAGCAGATATAAATCACCACAAGAGGGCGTCCACACTTTGCAGTAGCTTCTCTTCTTCGGTAATATTAGTTGATAATTATAACTTTTCAAACCCATGAAAATAAAAGACCATCAGGATTATGTACTAAAGTTAGAATTCAAGGTTAATTCCAAGCTAAATTCAAAATTAAGGCCAGAGAAGCTGAATGGAAAGCATATGTGACTTAGAGACTTTTTACAGTTTGGCTACTTTGAATTTCAGTTTGCCATTCACTTTGAGAACTCACTTTAGTGATTAACGCTGTATATGTCTAATACTGACTGACTCATACACATATTTGTACTGTAGCATTGCCAGTCTTATTAAAGAATGTATGTTCCCTGTAAATGACAACCTTTGCGCTAGTTCTGTGCATAATAAGATTGTAGTCTTAGCTGAGTCATACAGGCTTATTTACTAGAGTACAAATTCAAAGTGAGTTTGAAGTGAATTTAAAATTTGAGGTCAAAGTAGCCGAACTGGAAGCGTAATTAACTTAGAGATTCTTTCCAGTTCGGCTATTTTTACCTTGAATTTTAAAAATTCACTTCAAATTGACTCTGCTTTCTTATTTTAGTAAATCACCCTGTTAGTAAAAAAAATAAAAATTAAAAATAAAAAAAATAAAAAAAGGAACAGATCTAGATTTGGATAAACTTTTAAAATTATTTTTAAAACAAATTGATATACTTTTAAAATTATTTTGTTCAATATATTAAAAATATAACATATGATTTTCCAAATCATACAACACGGATTCAACTCAAGACTTTAGTGTCCCTTTAATACATAAAAAAAGAAATAAAGACATTTTTTTTTTGTACAATGACAGCGTCATGTAATGGATATTAGTTACATAGTTACATAGTTACATAGCTAAAAAGAGACTTGCGTCCATCAAGTTCAGCCTATCTCACATTTGTTTTTTGCTGTTGATCCAAACCTTCCATTCTTCTATATTAAGTCCTTCTGTTTTATATCTTTATGTCAACAGGAACATTTCTCCATCCAATCTCTATATTTCCCCAACTTAGTTTATCCCTTCATCCTAACACCTTCCCAGGCCCCTGATTTCTTGATTTGGGTTCCTGGTGTCACATCTGGGGATACTGGATAACTACCCTCTGGCAGAATAGCTTGAATGCGTCAGTAGATGTGCTTACAATTTGAACAGGTACTAGGATCCTGCTGAGAGTGCTTTAGCAAAGCTCTCTGCAAGGCTCTGTAGGTGGGGGACTGGCCGGCTAGGCCCCTTTCAGTAGGCCGGTCATTATGGGTGTTGCCAGTGACATGACTCACATCACTGGTGACACCCCACAGGTCCACCTGTCCTGATCTAGTACTTCTCAATGATGTATGCCTCACTCCCATTTCATTTTATTCACATTTCTCGAGCCTTAAAAGGACAATGTAGGTGCTGTAACTGTTCACCTCACATATTTCATCTCTCGTCACCCTCACAGAAGCTCTCTATCTCCGCCTATTGTTTTTTTTTGTTTGTTCTATTATTTTGCTCTCATTATATCCATCCTTTCTGAGTCTCTCATTGCAATTCTCTCAGCAAACTGTTCTCCCTCATACCTTACAGTTATACTATTGGTTCATGATCCTCTGTTCCTTTAATCTTCCACAACTCTTATTATTGTTATTATTATTATTATTAGTGTTTATATAGGTCCAACTTATTCTACAGTGCTTTACAATATTATAAAGTGGGAAATTTAACAACAAATGGGGATATTTCAAAATGTTACAGGAACAATAGGTAGATGACGACCCTGCTCAAATGAGCTTACAGTTTAGAGGAGTGGGCAGCGCAATGTCAGGCTGTCCGGCAGGAGGGAAGCTCACTGCGCTCACCTCCAGACAGTTACTATTTGTAGCGTGGCCGAGCTCAGCCCAGAGCTTTTCACCCGCGGAGCCCAGCCTCGTACTGCCCGTCCAGCCCAGCCTCTTACCCTGGTGTCTGCCGCTAGCTATGTGGAGGGGGTGGGGATATTTTTATGAGGATACCCCCTACCACACATATAATTCAAAGAATTACCTCTGCACTTGATCCATAGGCGCGGATTATTCCGCCCAGGCGCATACGCTGGAGCTGTATTGAAGCTCCAGGATAGTGTGAGTGCACATCTTTTATTTTACCTATCTTCACTACAGTTTTAAATACTACAGTATTATTTCTTCTCTGGTTCTCTCCACATATACCTTTTCAAGGATTACTGAAGCGCTGCACCTCCCCCTCGTTTTTATCCAGTTTTCTTATCGGAAAAGAGAGACTCCATATTGGTGTTCAAGCTGCTTTTGGACTATTATCATTTTGCTTCCGTGCTGAATTTATGTTTGTGTGATTATGTATGTATGTATGTCTCTGTATGCATGTACGAATGTATGTATGTATGTTTCTGTATGCATGTATGTCTCTGTATGTCTCTGTATGCATGCATGTATGTATCTGTATGTATGTATGTATGTCTTTGTATGAATGTATGCATGTATGTCACTGTATGCATGTATGTGTCTGTATGACGGTATGTCTCTGCATGCCTTTATGTCTCTGTATGTATATTTCTGTATGCCTGTATGTCTCTTTATGCCTGTATGTATGCATGTATGTGTCTGTATGACGGAATGCCTCTGTATGCATGCATGTCTCTGTATGTATGTATGTCTCTGAATGCCTGCATGTCTCTGTATGCATGTATGTCTCTGTATGTGTGTATGTCTCTGCCTGCGTGTGACTGTGTCTGTATGTCTCTGCCTGTGTGTCTGTATGTCTCTGACTGTATGTCTCTGTGTCTGTATGTCTCTGTATGATTATGTCTGTGTTTGTATGTCAGTGTATCTGTATGATTTTGATTGTGTGCCTTGTATGACTGTGTGCCTGAAAACAATGCCTGTGTACCTGTGGCTTGGAAGAAAAGACATACAAAGCGATCTGGAGGGGAGGGACACACAAAACGGACTTAGGGGAAAAAGAGCCCCACAGAGGGACTGTGGTGGAGAAGGAGACAAAGAAAGGGTCTGGGGTAAGAAACAAGGAAACACAGAAAGGGGCTGGAGGGAAGAGACACAGAAAGGGGCTGGGGGGTGGAAGTAAGATACATACAAAGGGGGTTGTAAGACACACTAAAGAAGGAATAAAATACACTGGAGCACAAAAGGGGTAAGAAATTCAAAGGGGGGGACGAGCTACAACAAGACACACAGATGAAGATGCATTTTTTATTTATTTTTTTGAAGAGGGGGTGGGGGCAGCAAAATGCATCTTCGCCTGTGTAGCTAAAAATCCTTGCACCGGCCCTGGGAGTGGGGTATAAGGATGTAATAGGAAGAGCATCTAGGTAGACAATAAACAAACATTCTCCCTCATTCCAATGACCTCTCACCCTCATTCACACCTTCACCTTCCATTCTTGCAAGCCGAGGCAGCTGATTGAGAAGCTTGTAATAATGAAAGAGATGGGAATATGATATAATATATATAGTTCTTTCAGAATGCCTTACACTCAGTCGCTGCTACCTGGCAAACACAATTGCAACTAACCAAATATTTTAGGTGCCTCTCCTTGTGTGTTGGTGGGCAACCTGCTACAAGGACAGTACCGGTGAAACAAAAATCATCATAGTTTGACATAAAACAGCCATCAGCCATAGGAGTGAGAGCTACACAAAATAACTTGGCATGCATTGGGCAGCTTACAGGTCACTAGTTGAAGAAATCATTTATTTGTGAAATTAACATGCTAGTGTTTCTAAATATGTATAAGGTATCTGTGACTTAGCATATTTCTTGTAACTGTATACAGTACAGCTAAAACAAACACATCTATCTCTACATAATCCATAAGTTTGTCTCCAGTGGAGTTTAAAATAAGATCTGAACTGTACAATTCATTAAAAAATGACATTGAATGTGCACACTTTGTTCTCTAGAGTTAGTCATTTGAATTATACTTTCCAAATAAGAGTCACAGAAAAAGCTGAAACTGTCTAATGAATGGTGATATAGATGAATAAGACTATTGTTAAAATGCTTTTATTAGCAACCTCTGCCAGGCCAAACAAAATAGTCATCACAAAAAAAAAGTCACACACTCTAATATTTTGTTGGACTGCCTTTAGCTTTGATTACGGCTTGCATTCGCTGTGGCATTGTTTTGATAAGCTTCTGCAATGTCACAAGCTTTATTTCCGTCCAGTGTTGCATTAGTTTTTCACCAAGACCTTGTATTGATGATGGGAGAGCTGTAAGCTGAACTAGCCAATGAAGCTCTTTTATACAAAGTGCTTAGCTAGATGCAATAACCTGGTCATTCAGTATATTCAGGTAGTCAGATGACCAACTGCAGCAACCCCAGATCACAGCATTGCCCCCACAGGCTTGTCCAGAACTTACCCCATTGAGAATCTTTGGGATGTGCTACAGAAGGCTTTGCACAGTGGTCCGACTCTCCCATCATCAATACAAGGTCTTGGTGGACATACCCCATATTGAATACCCTGGGTTGTCTACGTTAAAAAAATATGTACATGTGGGGTGTGATTCGGGGATTTATGACAGATAATAGTGTTACAATGTCACTATTGATAAATGTAAAAAATATATATATTGAAAGAGCAATTTCCTACTTGTACTTATAGCCCTATAACTTGCAAAAAAAAAGCATGTAAACACTGGGTGTTTTTAAACTCAGGACAACATTTTGAAGCAGTTATTTTCATTAACTTTTGTAGATAATTAAAAGATTTTTCAAGTAGAAGTCCAAAAACATGTTTTTTTTTATTTTTCACCATATTTTATTATTATTTTTAAAGTAAAATATATGACATGATACAAATAATGGTATGTAACGAAAGCCCTTCTTGTCCTGTAAAAAACAATATATAATTTGTATGGGAACCGTAAATGAGAGAGCGGAAAATTACAGCTAAACACAAACACCACAAAAGTGTTAAAACCGCTCTGGTCCTTAACGTAAAACATCGCAAAAACAGGCCGGTCCTTAAGGGGTTAATGATTCGTAGTTCTGTCCGCAGCACCAAGAAAAAGAAAGAGGGTGTAAAACTTCCCTCTATAAAGTCTGGAACTTTGGGTTTCATTATTGTTCTCTTGTCTGTAAAAATATGAAATAGTTGGTAATGTTTCCATGTTAATGGGACACTCTGTGCATCATAACTAATGTAGCTCACAGCAATGGCTGTAATGCATTGATTCATTGTTTGTTTTTCCCTGTCTTTCTGTCAAAACATATTTCATCAGTTTCTCAAGCCCTAGGTGGCCAAAGCCAGCACCTCTACACTTACCAGAATAAACTGGAAATTATACATCTCTATTATGGATTCAAAACCTTGCAACATTGGACTGCAGTGACATGCTGTGGCCACCGAGGGCAGGTGATCCCAGCTTTTGCAGAGTATCATTGGCATGCAAGGTTGGAGTCCTTTAGACAAATAATGCAGAAAAGCAGTTTGATAGACATCTGGATGGCAATACCTATAGACTCATAACTGTAGTGGGTATGGTGCTTAGCGAGACCTTTTAATATGTGTATGTTTCTTCCTTCTGGTGCTAAGGTAATTCATAGATTGGAGATTTGTTTTAGTTTGAACTGCGTGCAAATCTGGGGCAATCGGGCGATTGGTCAATTCCCTGAATTCCGAGGCAAAATGTATCCAAATAACAAGAAGCACAATGGTCGAGCATGTCAGTTTTAGTTTGTGATTCTGAATTATGTCCCCCAAAAAATGATTGATGGTAATAAAAGATGAATGATAGTTAGTGGACAGTCACTACATGTTCATTTTTTTTTTTCACAAATCAAGTGAGAAATGACCAATAGAGAGAAAAATGGAGGAGCAGTACAAAAGCAAACTATATTTATATATTATATATTAAATATAAGTAATATAGAAATATAGATTACTTTCCCCCTGTATTGGTTACTTCTTCTCATGTGATCTGTGAATCAAATACTGAAAAATGGCACATGTTAGTGTACTGTAAAATATATACAAATATGAAATAAAAAGGTGAAAGCTGTTTATTACTGTTATAAGAGTGACGCATGTACATTTTGATATAGAGCATAGGTTTCAATTAGCCAATTAGTTCCAACTGAAAGTGTGTACTACAAGGTTGCACTAAAACTCTTGATGTTGTGAATAATGGTTTTTTTTTTTTTTAATTAGTATAATCTCATAAATTAATTTTATGTTTGTTTTGCTATGGTTTTGCAGAAAAGTGGTAGATCTTCCAAAAAGGAGATTCGGGATTCCTCTTGACCGAATTGGGGTGAATCGCCTTGCTAATACCAGAGGTTAAAGAAAATAAAAAGTGAGTTTGGCTTACATAGATATTATATTGCTGATTCTAAAAAATGCACTTGCTATGGTATAATTATTTGTAGTCACAGACAAGCTATTGATGGTGAGAGAGCTGTGTTTATTAGTAAAGAATACATCTGTTAAACCCTCACTATACTTCCTCTGTTGTGTTGCCTTGTGTAGATTATAAGAACTTAATGGCATGATATCATGCATCATCACATTACATGACTATTTGCAAATCTAAAATGGGGAAGAAGAGAAACCTGAGATACTGGAAGAAAAATCTCAATGTTTCTTTTCCCTATTCCACTTAGAACAGGGTAAAAAACGGATTGGTCATTTGGAGCTGTTTAACTCTTGCACATGAAAAAGAGGTGGAACCACCTATGGCAGGATAATTAAATACTCTTTTTTATTAGCAAAATCTAAATATAGACACTTGGAAAGTAGAATGCCTCTCTTTAGCAAATCAGTGGTGCAACAAGAATATAAACTAAAATCAAATTTGAAGGGTGCATATCCATATGTATATAGATGTGTTAATTTGTATCCTCATTAAGAACACATAAAAAACATTAAAGGAAAATCACACTGTGTACAGATACACATGTAGCCATAAAACACATCCAGCAATAACACCAGCATATGTATAAAATAATTAATTTGCAGATATATACATCTCCTTGTGTCTCTTTTACAACCCTAACTTGCATGTCTCTTGTGTGTCTCTTACCCCCTCCAGCCCCTTCGTGCAGCCTTTACACCTACCAGCTACTATGTGTGTCTCTTATTTCCCACAGCCCCTTTGTGTGACTCTCCCCCCAGCACATTTGTGTGTATCTTTCCGTATTGCCTATTTTTATACCTTTAACTTCTGCATGCCCTCGTATGTGTTGCGCTAGAGGTTCTAGGACTAGGATGTATAACAGGGGGGACAATGGGCATCCCTGGCGTGATCCATTTGTGATCCTGAATTCCCTTGACGTGAAACCACTATTGGCTACACAGGCCGTTGGGTCTGAATATAATGCCTTCAATAGGGACAGGAAACCTGATGGGAAGTTTTGTTTTCATAGCACTGACTCCAGGAACCCCCAGTGCACCCTGTCAAATGCTTTTTCAGCATCTAGTGAGATGAATACACTGGGTTTTCCCGAGCTTCGCGCTATTGACATCAGATTTAACAGTTTCCGTGTCCCATCCGAACCCTGCCTTCCCTTTACAAATCCTACTTAGTCTGTATGAATCACCGAAGGAATAATGGCGGAGAGTCTATTTGCGTATATTTTTGCTAGAAGTTTCGTATCTGTATTCAATAGAGAGATGGGTCGTAGATTTTGTGGTTTGTTTGGTGGTTTTCCCGGTTTGGGTAGTGTGGCTATATGGGCTTTTAACATTTCGGGTGGTATATGGCCCGTTTTTATGATTGCGTTGTACAATTCTGCTAGGTGAGGTGATAAAGTGGATTTAAAGCATTTGTAGTACCAATTCGTGAAGCCATCTGGGCCTGGTGATTTCCCTTTTGGTAAAGAGTCAATGGCTTTTTCTATTTCTGTTCGTGTGATCGGCCTTTGGATCTCCTCTTGTTGTGTTGGGTTAATCGTGGGGAGATGTGCTTGGTCCAAGAAATCTTGGATTTCCTGGCTTGTTGGTTGGTGTGTCTTGTCGTCTTTACCTAGGTTATACAGTTCGGCATAAAAATCTGCCATGGTGTCATTGATGTGTTGAGGGTTTGTTAATTTAGTACCTGTGGAGGTAAACATGTGGTGTATTTTAGACTGGACCTGATTTTGCCTTAATAAGGAAGCTAAGGCTTTCCCCGCTTTGTTACCCTGGGAATATTGCGTAATTCTCAGTTTACTCAGTGTGTGTGAAGTCTGAGAATTACGCAATTCATTGATGGCTTTAGTGGTTTGGTATATTTTGGTCTGTCCTTCCTGGGTTGGGGAGATAAGCTGAGCTTGTGTTTGATCTCTGAGTAATTTGAGTAACGAGGTATAGTCATGTTGTGCTGTTTTCTTCAAATATGCCGCTCGACTAGTGAGGAGTCCCCTAATTACTGCTTTATGCGCTACCCATGTGTTTTGGGGTTGTGTTTGGGGTGTGCAGTTCGTTATAAAGTATAGGTTTATTTCCTTTTCTAGTGAATCTTTAAAAGTGCGATTATATAAAATAGCGTCATTCAGTTTCCAGGGTGAGGTTCCCCGAAACTGGAATTTGTCTTGTAGTGTCAATGAGGTGGGTGCATGGTCTGACCATGTTATATCTCCGATTTTACATTCTGTGATTGCGGTGAGAAGATGTGCCGAAACTAGAATGAAGTCAATACGTGAACTAGTCTTGTGGACTCTCGAGTGGTGTGTGTATTCGCGATTGTTTGGGTGCATTGTGCGCCATGAGTCCTAGAGATGAAATTCCATAATCAGTTTTGTTAGGGCTTTGCAGTGCGGCTTCAGGGCAGCATGTCTCCTGGTGTCTCTCAGTACCGTTGTGTCCAGGCGTGGATCCAAAACATGGTTTAGATCTCCACATAGAATAAAATATTGTAATTGTGGGCTCGGAATTTTAGTTAAAACTTTGTGTAAAAAGTTCCTCTGATTGGTGTTTGGACTATATGCAGAGACTATTGTGTATTTAATGTCGTTTATAATACAATGAAGTATGATGTATCTGCCTTGGGTGTCCTTTTTGATTTGGAGTAATTCATATGATAGCGATTTGTGTATTAGTATTGAGGCTCCCCTTGATTTGGTGGAGTATGTAGAGTGATATTGGATGGGATATTCCCTTAGTGCAAACCTGGGTATTTTAGTGTGCGTGAAATGTGTTTCCTGAACACAAAGTATATCTATTCTTTCTTTCCTAGCTGTGTCCGTGAGAACACGTCGTTTGTGCGGCGTGTTTAAGCCACACGCGTTAATGGTTTGTATCTTCAGGTTGTTGTAACAGTGTGGTTGCTGAAGGGGTATCAATTAGTCTATAGTGTGTAGTGGAATGTACCTCGACCCGGGATATGCATAACTTGGAAGTGGTGATGGGGATAGGGGTAGAAACTGAGTATATACATGCTCCCCGTGGGGAGCTAGTGCAATAATGATGCACCATGGGGGTTGGAAACATTCGTCTCCTGTGGTGTGGCGTGTGGGCTAAGTTGCTTCCATATGGGTTTGAACAGAACTTTTTTTTTTTTTTGTGGATATGGCTAAACCCAGCATCAGATTTGGGGTTGGTGTTGTTGGCAGTTCTACACGAGGGCCTATTTTGGTGTTGTTCAGAGGTGGTTCGTAGTATTGCTGCGAAGTAGCGTAGACCTCTACGTTCTTTTTCGGCACATTAAAGGGCTGGGTGGTATTGTGGGGTTTCCCTTCCTCACCCGATGTAGTTTGAGTGGTCTCACGCATCTGTGTGTACCCCGTTGAGCTCCCTCCCTCCTCTCTCCCCACCCCCCATGGTCCAGTAGACACATTTAGGCTCAATAAATACCATTGTAGATCTTGGGTAACAATGTGCCATGGTGTCGGTGTTACCGTGTCAGGTCTCTCTACTTTGCGGGTGTACCCGAGCCGGCGCTGGATAGGAGCTCCGCTTCCCTCGCGCTGGTTGTGCCTCGAGCCCAGGTAGCGAGGCACCCCGCGCATCCTCCCCGCCCCCCCCCAACAGGGGGGAACGCGGGCCCCCCGCCCCCATCACGCTAAGAAAGCGATCGAGGCTCAATGAGGCTTCTCCCATTTCAACCTCCCAGGCCTCAAGTGTCCATGGGCACCCCCCCCTATCGTTATGTGCCTTCCCATTGCCAGCGAGGCCTTGATACCCATACCAGCCGCACCCCTGGACCCGCACTCTATCAAGTAGTGTCCCATACAACATCATCAACACAAATTCTAAAAAATAAAGCAAAAAAGATAGTACATATTAACAGAGTGGCCCAGCGGCACGGCGGCACGCATTAAGAGAGCTTCGTCTGTCCTTAATGTCCTTTGGTTACCCGCATAACAGTATTGTTAGCCTTCCAAATCAAAGAGTGCAAGGGCCCACTGTGTCCGAACCCTGTGTACATGGGTAGTGTTGGGGAGAGAGTCGGGGGATCATTAGTTCCATTCTGCCCCTTCAATGTCGCTGTGCCAGAATATAGTATGTTAGTGGTGTGCAATACTTGCGATTTCCCTCATGCGTCCGCCGTTGCTGTTCAATGGTTGCTCGGGGCTGCTTGCCATTCTAGCCGCAATCTATGCCATGGTGAGGCTTGAGCGGGTTCCAGTTGGGGGTTAATACCCCATGTTTTCAGTTTGGCTGCTCCATCTTCTGGGGTGAAGATTGGTTTCAGCACTCCATCCTTCACCACCAACAATTTCGTCGGATACCCCCATCTGTATCTTATTCCGTTGTTGCGGAGCGCGGTAGTAATGGGCAGGAATTCTTTCCGTTTTCGAAGAGTTGCCGCCGATATATCAGGGAAGATCTGTATCTTGGCATAATCTTCTGGCGGTTGAGGCATGGTCCTGCTGGCGCGTAGTATGTGTTCTTTGACATGAAAATAATGAGCACGTAGCAGGACGTCTCTGGGTGTGGAGTCGGGGAGATGGCGCGGGCGAGGCACTCGGTGTACCCTATCGAGCAGCAGCATGTCGGTCGGGATTTCTGGAGTGTATGCGTGCAGCATGCCTCGCACATATCCTTGTAGGTCATCCGGAAGCACCGATTCGGGTACCCCCCGCAGCCGTAGATTATTTCGCCGCGACCTGTCCTCCATGTCTGCAAGCTTAGCTTCGGTGAGTAGCAGTTTCTCTTCTAGATTTTCAACATGGGACGCTAAGTCGTTATGTGCCGTCGCGACTTCGTCCATTTTGGATTCCATGTGTGAGGTTCTATGTCCTGAACATCTTTGCGTAGGGCCTCCACAGTACTCTGCCATGATCCAATTAGTTTTTGGGAGAGGTTTTCTAAAGCCTGAGCCAGGTAGCTTTTTGTCAGGGCTTCTCCCGTTTCAGGCCTGCTTTGAGGCATGCTATCCTCTTCAGAGCAGTCGTCGCCATCTTAAGTGGCGTTTGGTAGGCCCGAGTTCGTCTGCTGCGGTTTTTGGTGAAAGAAATTCATTTTTTCCGCTTTTGGTGCATTCTTTTTCCCTTTGTGGTGTGACATTTTCTGAGATGGAGTCTTGGTGCAGTTCTGTGTGTTAGGATTGATGTAGATTGTCAGCCCATGAGCCGGAGCTAAGGATTATGCATCCATCTTGTCCGGCGGTTAGCCACGCCCCCCATTTGTGTGTATCTTTTTCCTCTTGTATCTCTTACTCCCCCTCAGTTTATTTGTGTGTCTCTTTTTCCTCTTCTCCAGCTCCTCTCTATGTCTTTTTCTATCCTTCCCCAGCCCCTCTACATCTTTCCCCCCACATCCTCGTTTATGTGTCTCCTTTTCCCAGCTCCTTTTGTGTGTCTCTTCCCCCCAACAACTTTTGTGTGTCTCTTTCACCCATCCCCAGCCCCTCTGAGTGTCTCATTCTTGACCCTAGCCCATCTTTGTGTCTCATTCTTTTTCCCAACCCCTCTATGGGCCTCTTTCCCTAAGCCCCTTTTGTGTGTCTCTTCCACTCCTCCCTTTGTGGTCTACTCTCATCTCTCCCCTCCTGGCGTGCCTGCTTACCTCCATGTTGACTGCACAAGCAACTTATACCCTTAATGGAAGTGAATTAGAGATAACCACACACAAGAAGGAATTGTTATAGACAACAAACTATGTGCAATGTCAATTAGCAGTGGCTAAGGCCAATAAGGTATTGTCATGCATGAAAAAGGGCATTAATTCTCACGATGAGAATATCATTTTGCCTCTTTATAAATCCCTGGTAAGACCACATCTTGAATATGCGCTGCAATTTTGGGAACCTGTTCTAAAGAACGATATTATGGCACTAGAAAGAGTGCAGAGGAGGGCTACAAAATTAATAAAAGGAATGGCTATGAAGAAAGGTTAACAAATGTAAACCTCTTGAGTTTAAAAAAACATCACCTCAAAGGGGATGTGATAACTTTATACAAATATATTTGTGGCCAATACAAACCATTGTGTGGAAATCTATTCACAAACAGGACTTTATACAGGACACAAGGTCATGCATTTAGACTGGAAGAAAGAAGATTTAGTCTAAGGGAAAGGAAAGGGTTTTTTACCGTAAGAACAATAAGAATATGGAATTCTCTGCTTGAAGAAGTTGTTTTATCAGAGTCCGTACAGATGTTTAAACAGCAACTAGATGCATACTTGCAAAAACTGAATATTCAATGATATAATTTTTCAATGTAGGGTAAATGCTTCTTGATCCAAGAATTAATCTGACTGCCGTTATGAGGTCAAGAGGGATTTTTTTTCATAGTTTTTTCGCAAAATTTGAAGTGCTTAAAAATTATTTTTTTTTGCCTTCTTTTGGATCAACAGCCAAAAAACAAATATGAGGAAGGCTGAACTTGATGGACACATGTCTCTTTTCAGCCTATGTAACTATGTAACTTTTGGTTGTGTCGTCCCTGCCTGAGCTGTGTAGTGAAACCTTTTAGTGTACCTTTATTCTACTGTGGGGGTTTGCATATAAAATACGAACAACACTTTTCATTAAGGAACCCAAGATAAAAAAAGTGCAGGTCCAAAGTAATAGCAGAATAATCTGTGATATCAAGAGACACAGTGGGGGGTTAAGCTCCACACATTTACCAGTCCCCCTTGTGGGCTGTCATTATTGAATGGTGTAAATGATACAGCTGGGGATGGTAAGCAGTTTCTCTCTGAAATAGTCTAACCAATATGTATAGTTTTACCTGATCAGTGAATGAGAATGATACAGCTGGGGATGGTAAGCAGTTACTCTCTGAAATAGTCTAACCAATATGTATAGATGTGCCTGATCAGTGAATGAGAATCTACCTTGGAGGCTAATATATTGCCATTCTACACTACATGGCCGCATGACTGTTTCAGAGAAAAGTTGCTTACCATCTGTTGCACACACTTCAGGGTGTAGAAAGAAGAAGTGGGAGAATAAATAAAGCAATGTAGCTCAATATTGTATAAAAAAAAGTTAGGTACTATAAAACTCCCCTCCCCATGCATCATTTCCTCTTTCAAGCTGCGAGAAAAACAGAAAAAAGGCAGAAAAACATGAATACAGCAATGTCCACCCTCTGAGAAGAACTGCCACACCAGATAGCGTTGATGGACTGTAAACTGAAACGAAAGAAAAACAGAATCGAACAGGCTGATTATCCAATGAAACGTACTCTGAATAAACATGTAGGTACCCAATGTAGCAACCAAAATTACCTTAATATTTAGCTATCCCAACCCTACTTATGAAAAATAGACATAAGAAACAAGTGACAGGTAGCAGAGACAACAAGCAGATTTGCATACGTACCTGATTAATCCAAACTATTAAAATTAAACGAGGGAGGGATAAGAACGGGTGGGAAATACTCGCCTCCTGTCATTAATAAAATTAAGATTATAGGTACACTAAAGTTAGCATAATCTACAATTTTATAACATGACAGGAGGCTTCGTATTTGCTGTTTTAATGCTCAGTCAACAAATCCAACGCTGTTTGTTTTGCTGGTACCTATTCCGGGAGATATCAGAACAATTCTAAATGGACTTTCCAACTGTGATAAATCACAGTAGACGGATCGATGAAGATGCCAGCCGACGAAGCATCCCAAATACGGAAAAAACACCATCCGCTGATAGATCCATTGTACGTGGGGTTGCGACCTGTTTCCTAGCAGTCAGTCAATGAGCTGCCAAGCTGATCTAGTAGCCATTTTCCTGTAGTTGTAAAATGTCGAAGGCCATTTGCGGACTTAGGGCCGCGAGAAGGAACTGCCACCATGTCTCAACTCTTGATGTGGCTCCTCCGATCGTGCCAGGGTCATCTAGTGATGTGGCCGTGCAGGTACTGACTGTCCGGGTACGTATCTCCCAGAGTAGGTCCTAGGTCGAGAGACCCAGGAATGTGAGTTCGCTAACCGAAGTCAAGGTCTCCCTATAGAGGGATACCTCCCTTCTTTGCTTGGAGTCCTACGAACACATAGCGTTCTCCAATACGCAGGCAAGGCGTAAAGTTCCTTTGCTCACGACAGGTGACTCCAAAGAGCAGATATAACAAAAAACAAGGGTCTAGCTGCAACCATCCGAATCATGTGTTGTCCCGTTTGAGAATGTCAGCAGCCCTATCTGAGTCTGCTACACATCCTGAGCCGCACTCCAGCGGTAGGTTGCGACCCAACTTTGACGTCCGTGTAGGAGTCGGGGCACACCGGGTTCCTCCATAGAGTCTCGCAGGTCTTCTTGATGGTAGTAGAAAAGGTGGGTTTGTGAGAACCCAAACCAAGATGGCTCCCGTGAGGGATATAGAGTATAGACGGAGGGCACTTCATCTCCGAACCATGTTCTCCAAATATGTGCTCAGAAGAGTAGGGGCAGTACTGTCATCTTATCTCAAAATTGTAATGACCAGGGAACTCAAGTCCACCGGGGTTTCTGGCCTTTCCATGCGTACGTTGTACCTGCAGACTGGGTAGTGGACATTCCCTAGTCTTGTTACCCGAGCAAGGCAGTGCCCGTTTGCTCCATGAAGGTATCAGTATCTCATGTCATCTTGATATGGGAAAAACTGTCTGCGCAATATGTTCGCAATGGTCCAGATATCTAAAACAGAATGCAATTGTTATACCAAAACCTGCACTCTTGTAATACCTGAGGCTCAGCCGTACCTTCTCCAGGAGTGTGTGTAAATAAGCGGGAGTATCCCCCCGTTATACCGCTGTGAGTATTTCTCGCGTGTGGTACAGTGGTCCGGATCCAGTAGATCCATTACAGGAGGTGAAAAAGAGGGATCCAGTCTAAATATGTATGTTCTGCATGATCAGGTAGCACTCTATAACATAATCGGTAGCACGGTCGATGGGTCTAATTGAATGCACTCATAGTTGTCCTGTACAGGTACAAGCCTGTGTGATTAACAAATGGACGGCACCGTAGTGCGTTGAGTGTATGAGAGAGCCGCGCCCTCTAATAATGTGACCGAACTCCGTGTCAGCGTCTCCGTTAATAACCAAATAGCCAAGTCTACATCCATCTACGAGAACGTGTCACTCAAAACATGTCCTCTGCATCCAACTCAGTATCAGGCTGAGGTTGAGGGAGGGCCATGCCCTCTGATAACAAATCAGTGTCCGGTTCCGTATATGAGAGGGGTTCGCTCTCTGTTCGTAAAAATAAAATATAATTCTCGGATCAAGGTGATGGGGGGCCGCACCCTCTTGTAATCCAAACTAAAGTCCCTTAGAGACTCAGGGTGACCAACTACAGGGGTACACCAGTTACTAATATCAGCATAAGACTGAGATCCTGAGGTGGGTCTCTCTCTGACCACGAGACCTCTCTCTGAATCGCTCACCTGAGATGGAAGCAACTATTAATAAACCAGACCGATGGAAGATGGAATAGTATACAACCTCGGGCCGTGTCCATCCTTAATAACAGAAAGGGATGGTGAGAGAATGCAACCTTCGGAAATAATGATGGAAACTACCGACTGACTGCCCGAGTCCCGTGCGCGCGCGGGGTCTAGGATGTTCTCCGCAATCCATGAGAGCCCGGGAGGTCGGAAGAGGTCAAGTCAGGCCTCTCGACCACCCGAGCGATAGGGCAATTGGAAGGCTCGAAAACCAAGAAACGACAAATAAAGTAGATAACGGTAAATACGTACTCAGGGGAGAAGGTAAATAGCAGATCGGAACAGCAAGCCAAGTAAACCCAACCGAAAGGGTCAGGAGCTAAACATGATGTAGGACTAACTACCCATACCTAAGACGGATACCGGAAAGGCAGCTAGATGGTTAGTTGTTGAAGGCAAGGCAACAGTGCTCTCCTGTTGGCGTCTAAGCACTGGTCCCTGCTTGTGCGAAATTCTCCTTGGAGATATGCCGCCACCGGGTTGGTGTAAACTGTGGTGCCGCACCCAGGGACTCTCATAAAAAAGGTTTAGGGCCTTCACCCTTCCAATCATATTTAGGTGCCCGTATACTGGTGTCCTCTTGGATAGTAAGGCAGCAATGCTTGCCTGGACACCAACTCATCTCCATGTCACTAGTGGGTACTGGGCTTTTCTCAGTGATATCCTCCCAGGCCTGCAGCCAAAAGGGGTTTCAGGCCCAGATAGCTCAGACCAAGCAAAGGGCACAAATAGAGCAGGCTAGTCAGAAGGGCACGGACATAGCCCGCCAATCAAATGGGCACAGACCTAGCAGGTCAATCAAATAGGCACAGACAGAGCAGGCCAATCAATGGGGCACAGACATAGCAGGCCAATCAATGGGACACAGACACAGCAGGCCAATCAATGGGGCACAGACACAGCAGGCCAATCAATGGGGCACAGACATAGCAGGCTAATCAATGGGGCACAGATATAGCAGGTCATACCCCGGTGTTGTATTCCGACAGTAGCAGGGGGTCAATCTGTGTAGAGCCCCCTATATGTGTAATGAAAACATGGTAACCTAGGGGAAATAACTCCAATATGTAAAAACCCCTAGGCAGAGTAGCAATGTGCCTACAGGTAGACAGGAAACTGTTTGACCTTTAATGTTAGTGGCCAAAAACAAGGATATCATGTTGCAGGAAACTCAGCAGTACAGGGTGTACTGCCTACAGGCTGTTCTCCAGCCCTTGTGTAAATATATATATATATATATATATATATATATATATATATTTATAATATATAATCTGTGGTATCTCATGATAGCTATATATATATTTATAATATATAATCTGTGGTATCTCATGATTGCTATATATATATTTACCCTGAGCAGGGTGGAGGGGCCCTCCCAGACCGCCAGCGAATTAGGCTGTGGTCTGATGTACGCTCTGACTATAGGGGGGGCAGCCCCTCAACTGACCTTCACCGAGAAACGGTACTGGCCACGTGTGGGATAGAGGCCAACAACTAGAGATGAAGAGACAGTGATGGTCTGAAGAATAGGCACTTAAGAAAATCTCACAAGAACTATAACAGTATTGCATTTACAGGAATAAAATCCCATAAGGATAAAACATATTGCATTATAAGAATAAAATCCCACAAGGATTATCACAATACTGCATTATAAGAATAAAATCCCACAAGGATAATAACATACTGCATTATAAAAATAAAATCCCACATGGATTATAAAATACTGCATTATAAAAATTAAATCCCACAAAGATAACATACTGCATTATAAAAATAAAATCCCACATGGATTATAAAATACTGCATTATAAAATAAAATCCCACATGGATTATAACATACTGCATTACAAAAATAAAATCCCACATGGATTATAACAATACTGCATTATAAAATAAAATCCCACATGGATTACAACAATACTGCATTATAAAATAAAATCTCACAATACTGTATTATAAAAATACTGCATTTATAAGACTAAAATACTGAATATAAGCAATAAAATCCTAAAAGCCACCAACTAGAAGCAGGAGGCAGTGATACTCTGACCTGAACTGACTGCGGAGCAGCAAAGAAAGAGGAAATGATGCATGGGGAGGGGAGTTTTATAGTACCTAACTTTTTCCTGATTGGATGTTTTTCTGTGCTGCTGTGGAGTTCTAGTAAAGAGAGACGTAAGCAAATACGAAGCCTCCTGTCATAACCTCATGTTATAAAATTATTAACAATAACTAATTAAAACATTAAAAAAAATCTTGGAGAATACGATTTGGTTAAAAGCTACAGAAAGATATGCTTAAAATACAAATTCACATATAGTGCTCCCATTATGAGGATCTTCCTTACGCAAAAACTCTGGAACATTCGGAGGGTTATTTACTGAGGGGTCTATTCACTAAACTTCAGATGGGGCAAACTGGGAAGATTTAGACTAATCTTTTAGTTACCCACAAAGTAAATGGAATGCCATGTGAATTTAGATCAAAGTTAAGATTTTAGTTCAAAATAACACTTTAAAAGGAAATGTATTGAATAACAGAATTATAGTTGTTTCACCCACCAAGCAGGTGAAGTAAAGGCATGTAATGTGTGTCTTTACTGAGCTGGAGAAATTTAGAAGCAACAACTCTATAAGGAAGGGAACATGTCATTGTTTCTTTATTTTAACTTTTTTGTTTTTCTCTTTTATGGAAACCTCTGCCATCATGGTTAATGTTCTCAGAAATTCCAATTAGTAAGAAATCCAACCTGTATGAGCTATGATAGGTTCTTTGGCTGTCTTGTGTTATTGAATGTTTTACCTCTCCTTTTTCCGTTTTCCTTTTTACAGGTACACACACCCTGGATGATAGATGATACATCTATGGTTGCCACAAAAACACTGCTGATGCCTCAGAGAAGATCCTGCTGTTGATTTATGTTGCAATGTTTAATGAATTGACCATCTATAAATCTATTTCACATCCTCTGTCAAAACAATAATAGATTCAATCCATCAGATCAGAACTTTTACTGCCAGGGTGTGTCTGCTCCGATCACAGGGTGCAATTCTGTATATAATGCACTGCATGCCAATATTTCTCATTTCTAAAATGAGCAATTTAAAAAATTATGTTTTAATATTAACATGACGACAAAGTAAGAGAAATTAAGCAGCATTTCATGGTTTTATGTTATTGTCTTTGTTAGATTGAAGCTGAAGTTATTTGTACTGAGGAATGGCCTTAGAGCACTTATAGTTATACTGAGAATGTCAGTGCTCATTCTATCACCCCAGCAAAGAGCATTAACCATTGCACCGTATCTTCCATTGCCTGCTAGCCTGGTTTTATGAAGCTACATATTAATTATGGAGCTGTGATTCCACTTATCACTTTGTAAAAACACCTGTCTGTGTTTAACCTCTTACATACCAGTTTGGGATTGTCTGTTTTCTGACCCCCTTTAGCAAACAGTTTATAGTTGCAGAATGATCACTCATTCGTTGAACCATTACAAGGTCAGGGAAATTCTGAGTTGGTACTATTTTTCTTCTGGTCCTGATTTCTGCTGCTTCTGGAAAAAGCAAAGTAAAAAAGCACCCCATTGTTAGTCCTTTTAATGTCTCTATAATACACTCTATGGTTTTCTGTTTATAAACCTGTCATTCTTCAAGGTAAACTTATCAAATCCAGTTGGGGCCCTGTACCACCGTCCTGAGTTTTGTCCTAGGTAACTGTCCCCAGCACTAGGGAACTGTTTCTAGCAAGAGGAATGCAGTCTATGTAGTATATCATTAGATGCACTCTCGCTGTGCTGAGTGGTGTCAGGGTACTAAGACTGAGCTAGTGGGGCCGGTATGGGAGGCTATTAGTCAGCATAGCATGCATTCATGCAAGACTGACTTCCCCCATTTTAGAGCACACCACCAGCTTTATGGGCAATCCTGCCCCTCACCCAGACTAACATGTCTCTTTCCCACCGCCCATCACCACCCTTTTCAGGGCCCTGTCATGGATCACCACAGGTCAATTTGTAAAGTATGAAACCATGTACAAAGTTGTAAAAGTTCAATTATCCATGAGTTAATGCACAGATTGATTAACCCATCATTACCAAAATTGAGTATTCATGTTTTTACTTGCATTATAAATTGTAAAGCAATGACAAACTAAAAATAGTCCATAAACCCAATTTACCCTGCTTTACATCACAGAAATTATTTTCACTTTCGAGAGCTATAGATTTTTCTGAGAGAACTCCATTGTTACCATTTGAATCTTTGCAAATTAGCTAAAAATGACAGCACTCTTCCTCCTAAGAGGTATTACTGCGTTATAACAGTCCAGGACAGAGGACTAGATGCAGGCCGCTCTATCAGTTTGCAAATCCCTGTTTCAAAAACAGACAATTTAACAATATTTTCTATATATGGGCTTTATGCTGAAGTATGGACATTCTATAACATTTACATTATATAACAATGGTCGCCAAAATAACCCATAAGCAGGGTGTTTGACTTTTTTTTTATTTATTTAGTTCAGTCAAACCTTCTGTATGTGTTACTGATTGTATTATTTCTGGCCCTTTATGATATATAACAAAATAAAACAAAGTATAGTATCTAAAAATTCCATCCTCTTGATGGTTCTGTAATGGATGAAAAAAATGTAACGTTGTGCACATTTTCATAATTTAAATGTTTATGGATCTCTTAAGCATGGATCAATATTAAAAAATACAGTTTATTGTTACGTACCTATATGTCCCTATCTTATATTTTTAAAGCAAAAATGTTTGGTAGTGATGGTGTTAATAAAATTCTGTAACTTTTTTATTGAACATTAACTATAATATTTTTTTCTATTTCCTCAAAATAATGGGAAAATAATCTAGATAAAAATTTAAAAAAATGTCTTGTGAGGCGTGCACAGTGTTTGCATAGTAGTGTAATTGATGTCCCAATTCACTTAATCATTTCAGACAGGTAAATAATTTAATTTTAGCAATAATAGGGACTATTTGCTATACTGTGAATTATAGGGAATTTTTAAGGATTTACATATTTAAGGTCAAAATAACAGAATTAAAAAATATGCAACTTCAGAGTTAGTCACATGAAGGGTGCATTGTCATAACATTAAAGTGACTTAAAACAACATCCTAAGCACCATAAGCACTACAGCATTCTGTGGTGATTAAGGTTCCAGGTGAGCCATGGCACCGCTCACATTGTAAGTATTCAAACCGTTTTTGCATGGTTTCATTTTTTCCATTGGGTCCACTGGGAGCTGCTCCTCACCTCCACTACTAATGCCAGAGAGCTCTGAGCAGCATCTTTCATTAGCACTTCTTAGCTAAGCCATGCAGAGCAGGTGCTCGCAGCCAATGATCTAACTCCTGGCTTAGCACAAGAGAACTCAAAGAGGTTTCTGCTTAGAAACTTCTGTCTCTCCAGCATTAGTAGTCGAGGCATGGAGCAGCACCTGGAGGATTCCACGTAACATGGCAAACTGTTCGAACCCTGCCTGACTGCTTCCAATTGGGGGAGTGGGTGGTAGTGCCAGGAGTGTTCCTTTAAAAGTGAATTCCAATTTCAGGCTAAAGTAGCTGAATTGGAAAAACTTCAACATTGAAGTTGAATACACTTTTGGATAGTGAAAAGCCCTGTTAGCGATTCCCACTTGAAATTCCATTATCACCACAGTTTATTGGATAAACCATGTTGATAAGTGAAAAGCAGAATTTAGTCCTTCAGGACCAGGGCTAGCCAAATGACTCTCATGACACAGATAGGTTATTGGAATCACTGAAATAGAGTTACAATAGACAGTGGAAGTTTGTTGCTCGTATATTGGGCTACTGGAACAATAAGGTTATAGACAATCAGATCACGCTATGCATGTGGAGTGGCTGGACCACATTTCTATGTAAGGCTTCTTATGTGTTAATATTTGCTATGATATATCCAAATTAACCTCCACCACTGGGATAGTTGCTTAGTTCCTGATTAAATGTAACTGATTGAAGCGGCACTGTCACTTTGCAGTTTTTTGCTTTTTTTTTTTTTTTTCCAAATAATCTTTGTTTTGTCCTTCTATTTCTATTGTTATCATTTTTTTTAAAATTGACCTTTAAAAATTGTTGGAATTTTTTGTCAATGGGTGGAGCTCCACCCAGGTTCTTTTTCAGCTGCAAAGTTAATTTACTCACAATCCATCAGTCTAAATAATCCCACAGAAGTGCAAACTGCGAACATCATGGTAGGAGGAAAACAAAATGGCTGGTGGCCTGATAAGGTAAAAGAGATTATACATTTAAATAAAGGCAAGTGGCAAAGGAGGGATTATGATCATTAAGAAGCAAGACATGTAAGCAAAGGTAAATCGAAAGAAAATTAACAAATAAAGAAGTAAATAAATAAATAAAAATGACTGTGCTGTGTTAAGAATATAGATAATTTTAGTCAATAGTAATAATGAGGTAAAGTGCTATATGGTGAAACAACAGGAGGTTTACATAACAATTGCCCTACTTTTGAAGCACCACCCATGAATGACTCAATCATACGCAGTCAATGTAAATAATAAAAAAAAATCTCAACATATTTTGAAAACAAGTTAATGTTCAGTTAAATATATATTGCTTCACTCAGTGAAAATATATATAAACATAAAAATGTGTAATGTTTTCAATGCATGTTTTTATACAAGTAGAAAAGCGACACTAAGTTAAGTAAGGATACATAGTTGTGCACTTAAAGCACCATTCACATTAATGAGCAACTGGGAACGAACCATACTTTGACAGACGTGTTTAGACTTTATTTTCCTCTACATACACAAATTTCTTTCCTCACTTTTAATTTTTTTTCCCCTAATACTTATTCCCCTTTAGGAATGAAACACACTTAGTTTTTGCTTTTGAATAGTTTTTAGACCACCATTCTTATAGAATGTCAGACTTAGCTACCGGTACTTATAACCACTACATTTGGTATAAGTAAGACTACAACATATGTTTGAGCAATCTTTTGGTTTATTTGTTTTTCTATTGTTTTTTTCTTGGTGTTGTTTGAACTAGTCGCTTTATCCATACCTGGTACAAAGTTCATAATCCTGTAGCTCCCATCAATTATTTAAACAGACTCTAATTTCTTTAATCCGGCTGCTGACTAGTGATTGGGTGGTAGCACATATGCATTGCAGTGCAATGTTAAACAATCTGTCCTGAATTGATTATGCTAAGTTTGTGCAATTTTAAACATTGAGTTTAAAAAATAAAAAAATAAAAATGGTTTATACTGTATGTTTATTATGATGTTTTATGTATTCCAATCCCAAATCTATTTTTATTCCATAAATATTAGAAGGACAAAATATATCAACATCATAAGATTTTTTTTCTTTTTTTGACAATCAACTGTTCATCTGTTGAAATGAAAAAATAAAAATGTGTAATATTTTAACAATATGATTACTTGTGATTTCTTATATTTTCTATTACATAGTATGTCTATGTATCGTGCTGGGATGTGAGTGCGTGAATCTGAACATGTATTACTGCTGCATGCTAGATGGTTTTCTGTATCACAGTTTGTATGAGGGTTGCATACACTTGATGAACAGCAAAAATGCATACCTACTAAGATTGGAAGGTATAAGATTATGAAGGGTGGGTAGGCCTTGGGAGGCGGGGACATCACCATTGATGCAACTCGCACTGCTGGTGATTGGAGGGTCTGCCCCTTTAACTGAAGTGCAACTCCAACCTACAGAACCTTGCAGAGAGCACTGCTGAAGCACTCTCGGCAATGTCTTATTGCCTATGCAGAGCGCTCACGCATTGTCAGGCTTAGATCCCAGGTGTTCTAAGATGCGGGATACAATTACAATGATATAAATAGTGCCAATATATTCTGCAGTGCTATACCATAGATAAGACTAGACAAATATTTAATTCTAACAAAACACATTTGAAATATGATTTGGAGATATCTGGAGATTGGTGATTGGGAGGGGGCATAGTAGGCAGCAGAGGAGGTGTTTAAGGGATGAGCTGAAGAGCTCTAAAGAAGTGAATTTTTAAGGTTACTTTGAATGATTGCAGGGATGGGAACAGGTCAAATGTGACACGGGAGGTAATTCCATAAGGTGTTGGGCTGCCCTGGATAAGTTTTGCAGTTGAGAGTGTTTGGTGCAAGTACAAGAAAAGGACAGTAACTGGACAGCGGTGGAGCAAATCTGATAATGAGGGAGGAGATATATGCAGAGACTCAGTTATGGAGAGGCTTTAGGTAAGGACAAAAACTTTGAACCAATTCCTAAATTGAATCTTCTAATTGCTTCCCAGCATTGACTTCTATTATAGATAGTAAATGGGCGGGGCTTGGAGCCAACTTTACCTACAAATGTCCTGCCCATTAGTCATGTGTTATGGCAATTTCTCCCATACAATGCCTTTTTGCCATAAACCTGGCACTTAATAAACAGGTAGACTGCACATTTTTGCGCTGCTGCTTGCCACCTACTTAAAATTTAAATGCCCCCATCTAGCTGACAGAGGATTGTGGCTATCAGCAAAATGGTGTCATCTTAATATTGGGGTAGACATTTGACCAAGCACCCCAATAGCCACATCAAATAGTATGGGAGTAGGAAGCAGTGGACAACTCTGCTAGCCACCGTTTCACCTTTAGCCCTCACTAACACCCATAATAAATATTGCAATTCCCCTTCCCAAAGCATAGGGGATTGTGTAGGGCGTATTGGGCTGATTCTAGATAAGTGAAATAGCTTTGTCAGCTGATTATGTTTGAAATTTGAATCCCTCAGCTAGTGGTTTTACAATGTTACATACTGAGGAGTATTTTCATCTGTTACAAGTTTGAACCAAGCATTTGCAACTCTGTAATGTTACACTCATAGCTCTATGTTATTAAATCACTATTAGAAGGACTTTTTTTTACTAGTATTTATATTTAACTTGAGCAATCAAACAATTAATTTCCTATTTGTGAGTATTCTAACTTGCAGACAAAATAATTTTCTGGCACCAAACTTGGAACCACAAAATTAGGGAAATGGCTTGTCTATTCCATTGGTGTTTCTGAGCTGCAGAATTCAGACATAGCTAACGAGAAGTCTAACAAGAACCCAGACTAGTAATCATGGTATAGTAGAGTATTGATTTGTACCAGGGTAGTTGCTAGGTGGCACAAAAGACCAGGGGCTTTCATCAGAGCAAATGTAATGGCTTTTCCCTGATATATTAACTTAAGTCCTTCTAAAGCAACATTTTACTATACCCAAAGTCCAATCCCAAAGTCCAATCCCAAATCCTAAGTGTCTATAAATCACACGATGATAACAAACCTTTGATTGAATTCAGATATACCTGCTGTATTAAACACAAGCCATGAACGCTGCACCCACAGCAACACCCCCACACTGAGCTGTGTAATTCACTCCAAATATGGTGCGTTAAAGTGGCACTATCACAAATTAGGTCATTGGAGGTGTTATTTCTCTCGTAATACAGGGGACAAAGGTAACAATGAAGAGGTGCCAAATTTAGACTGAGAGCTCTTCAGATTCCCGCTCAGGGTTCTAGCCCCTGCCAGCAACACTCTTGCTTTTTATTCCCACTCCTCAATCTTTGTTGCAGATTTTATTGATATTTTGATATCCACAATTAGTTAATCCCTAAACCGATCAATTATTAATGGTCTTTGAAGATTGTTTTCATTGTTTAACTGAAGGCCTTCTGGTTGCATGCAGCAATCCATGGCTGTCATTTGTTCTCCATCCCAAAACATTCTTAAACCTATTGATTATGTTGAATTACACGTTATAAGCCATGCACGGCTATATATATTTTAGGAACCTTTATTTTTCCCTAGCCTCTATACCTATACAGTATAGAAAGGAACATATTTCAAATGAGGACAGATTTAAAGGGACACTCCATTGACCTAATAAAATAAATCACTGTTAGTGAAAATATGTAGATATGCCCACAATGAAAATATGAATGCATTTTATTAATTGAGGGAATATCTAAAACAGCTTGAAAAAGCTACAGTTCTCTTGCCTAAAGTCTTTGCAAGCCCTCCACTTCTAAACCCACCCAGACGTTCTGTCCATACACAGACTTCCCAATGCAGATCAATAAGAAGTGTTTGCAAGGCAGGTGCTCTGATAAAATGCCTGCCTCTTTAATTTAGCTCCACTGAGCAAAAAAAAAAAAAAACAGGATAACAGGACCAGTTGTCTGATTGATAGTCAGGGGGTGCAATAAGTTTAAAGGAACACTCCAGGTGCCAAACCACGTGGTTCCTGTTGAATCCTGGTTTTGGCAGAGTGAGATCTATAGAGGTACTAGCCCACCAGAACCATTGGAGGAGTCACCCTTAAGGCGATATTAACTCCATATTATTGTGATTGCTATCAGTATGAGTATCATTGGATATTGGTTTTGACATATTACACTACTATTATAGGGGTCAAGTCCTGGGGGAAAAAAGTGTGGGGACTCACCCAAGATCCACCCCGCCCCCCAAAAAATCAATAAATTATACACTCGTATGCATATATAAATGCGTGCACACATACACAGTCACACACATACACTCACAGACGCACACACATACACACATACACACACACAGAGACACACATACTCAGACGCTCACACACACACATACACACTCAAATTATTTATATTTGTAACATTTACAGGTGTCCACCCAGCCTCCCTACCTGGAGAGCTGGCATGGACCTTTCCCTGGGGTCCAGTGGGGCTTCAGTGAGTCAGGCGGCTGTCTACCGGTCAGACATGGCGAGGGAGCTTTGTTCTCCCAGCTCTGCTCCCTTGCACCACGCGGGCTGTCTACTGATGCAAAGAGCTGGAATATGATGGAATATGCTCCCGGCTTCAGCAAAGGAACACAGCTCCCTCGCCGCGTCTCACCAGTAGACAGCCATGACAGGGGGAACACAGGGGGCATTTGGGGGCGGCATTTTTTGCCACCCACTGGTTAGTGCCTGCAGGGGGAACGGCGTTCCTGCTGTGAAATATAGTGCAGGAATGCCATTCCCAAGCGTTCCTGCAGGACTCGAGCCCTGATATCAACGCTAGGTGAAAACTAAAGTGATAAACTCAGAAAATGTGCAGTGAAGCTAGACAAACAAGAATATGCAAAAAAACTAAATATCTATATATAGAGTTCAGCTGCAGGATATCAGAGCTGCAGATTTAATTTCTGGCAAGTCAACCTAGTCTCTCGTACTTTTGAAGTTGAAAATATGGTAAATATAATCCAGGACGCACATTCGAAAACAACTGAAAGTTAAAGGTACCCTTGATTTTAATATGTTATATACAATAAATGAAAGTGCTTAATTACCAGGCTACCACTGCATAAACTAATTATAGAAAATTTAAATAATGTATCATTTAAATATATGTGTGCATAATTAAAGAAAAAAACAGATGCAAAAAGAATTACAGCTTGGTTGTTTTTGGTTTTTCTCTTTTTCTTTTAATGAGTAGAATAAAAACCACATAGTCTGATTACTACTAAGATGAATTTGTATTGTATTTGTTTAAACAATCCATGTTAACACGTGTAACAGCAAATTTCTGATTGTTTATTGAACAAATCTGTAATAGATGGCACTGCTAATGAAAGAAAACATGTCTTTGCTTGTATTATCTTGCAAATCCTTGAAGCACTCGGGGTTGTCGCTGGTAGAATAGGTCTTCTACAGGTGTATAAAGAGATGAACACTGAAGATACATAAATGATTTACAAACACTGTTAAAAAAGAACTTCACAGTTTTCTTCGTACTGATTTTACTTGATTGATATGTCAAGGCATTTTCTTAGATTCAGGAAATAATAATTTGCCATCTCCAGGGACATCTTCACACACAGTATTTCCAAAAGCAAGCTGGAAAAAAGGTAGAAGAGAAAGGTTAATGATGAGAAGACAAGATTTTTTTGTTCAATGGCATTTACAGTCACAGACAGTGACAGTCATTTCAGAAGTACAATTGAATACTATCTGGGATTATTCGCCACAGTAGATTACAATAACAATTTAGAATTATGGCATATCCTAATTACCAATGTTAAAATAATATTATAAAAAATTGTTAGATATTGAGTTGAAATGGAGCTTTATGATCTATTGTGTGCTTTGATACTTTTTTTATTCTCAGGTACCATTGGAATAGTGAAAGGGTGTATGAAGAATATGATTAATGCAAGTTTTTACATACAGTAGTGTTTATTAATATTCAAATTGAACATTAATATTTCTACAGAAGTGATGCCGCACACCTCTTTTGTTAGGATGCGATGGTGACAGCCCATCTACAGCATATGTCATATCTGAGGTCTTTGATTCCAAAAGCTGCTCCTTGAGTTTCTCCAGCTATGTAAAAAAACACAGTATGTTAGATTACATTATTTTTTTTTACATAAAACATTACATTTGTTTCTAAAACTATACACAAAAAAACTACACTCTGTTTGCTGTAAATCATAGGGCTTTAATATATTAAGCTCTGACCAGACAAGAAAATAATTTACACGTTTCAGCCAGTAGCTGTATCTGATAGTATTTGTATTATCTTCTGTACTTATGCTAATTATGTTCTTTGAACTCCTTTTACCAGAGAAAAAGGAACTACTTCCCATAGTATTATTGGCCTTGACTTTTGCAAAGAAATCTATTAGAGAAGGTTGAATAAATCCACACAGCAAGCTTGGAAAACCAAAGGGAAGTACAAACTTGTTCCTATGACACTTCTGAGTAGGGGGGTGTATTTCCTTCTTTATTTGTTTCAAATTGATGTACTTATAAACAGCTATATTAAAGTAACATTATAGGGTCAGGAACACAAACATGTATTCCTGACCCTATAGTGTTTAACCCACCATTTAGGTGGCTTGCCCCCTCTTAGCCCCCCCTATAAAAGTTTAAAGCTCACCTTATTTTCACTGCCGCGCGGCTCCACCCCCCTTTGTGACATCATCAAAATGGCAGATTTTTAGCCAATCCAATGCTTTCCCATAGAGAAAGTGTTTCCATAGTGAAAGAATTGGATTGGCTAAAATAGGCACAGGGGGAGGGCCAAATGCAGTTTTGGCAAATCAGGACCTCCTCATAGAGATGCATTGACCCAGGAAACACCTCCAGTGGCCATCTAAGGAGTGGCCACTTGGAGGTGTCCCTAGAGGCAATGTAAACACTGCCTTTTCAAAGAAAAGGCAGTGTTTGCATGAAAAAAGCCTGAAGGGAACTATTATACTCACCAGAACAACTACATTAAGCTGTAGTTGTTCTGGTGACTATAGTGTCCCTTAAAGGGCATACTAATGGACACCTTCTTGCAACATAAGCTAGGTTGTTACAGTGCTTTGATTGTCCCTTTTGTATTTAAAGATAAATACAAAACTTTACAATGAAAACATTGGTACATATGTAACAACTATTACATGCCCTGTTAGGTACAATATGTGCATGTCATCTATTTTAAAAGTATATTACATGTTTATTGCAAATCAGGTATTTAAATAGTCAAGTACATCTGATTACTGTGAATGCAAGGGGATGTTTTACTTCTCTGCCAATATATTTTCAAACTGCATAGACTGTGCATGTAGAAAATAAATACAGATACACACTATTCAGTGACAACTATATAACGGATATAACAATTCCTAAACTCTATTCTCCCTTTAGGAGGACTTTAAACTACTCAGACTGTTATTTGCAAATAGAAAGAGACTTTCCATATAAAATGCATGAGTTTACTCTTAGTAAAAATTGAGATTATGCAACAAAAATCACTGTATTGCATTTCTGACATACAAAAAAAAAAAAAAATACCGAAATAAATTACTCTCTAAAGACTGTGGTTCCTATTCCTTTTGCTACTTATTTATTACTCATTAAGTAATATTGGCATGTGCATAGAAAGGCACCATAAGTTGTCAAGATATTTACCCTAAAGTTAACATACATCCAGTGCACTGCATCCACAGCTTTACATGTCTGAAGGTGCACAAGTATATGTTGTAGGCCATCATCACTTTCATTGAAAAGTATAGCAATGATGAAGGGTACAGCAATAGACCTATGAATCATTTCTTGAAAAGGATGAATGAGGAGCATGTCAGGTATCTACCATAATTAGCTAAATCTTGCATATCTGGAGACATTCTGAATTGGGTCTGAATTAATACATATGGGCCACAATGGGCCTGAATTAATACATTTTGGCTGTCAGTATAGGTGTAGCTCGGGTAAATTATAATTAATACCCAATAATTATTTTGCCTTTATCTGAATAATTTAATGAGTACATGTGCCAGGCTAAAATTTAATGACTAGACCCATGAGAATCCTCTCAGTAACAAATGTGACTGTTTCCAGTTTGGATCATCAGTTAACAAATGGCTCATCTGAACAATTTTTCTGTTTCTATGTATTCAAACTGTAATGTTCCCTTTTAGCCAGATACATTATTAACTAATTTGCCAGGTAAATGATCTAACCCTTAAGCTATCCTCAGTGGTTAATGTTTTTGATCTAATTGTTTCTTTAAGTTTGAGATTTCTTTTTAAGTTGATGCCTTAGTTCTGTCATTATCTTATACTAAGTATCTGTGTGTTGTGCCATTCCATGCTTGAAATTTATGTGGTTTACCATTGTTAACACTCAAATATTATTGAAGTTCCCAATCTCTATCTCCATTAATACTTTTACATTAACTAATGCAGCAGGCAGAGTTTGGCCTTCTGATCCTGTCTGGATAAGAATACTTTACTTATCAAATCATCCCCAATTCCTTATTTAGAGGCTCTCTGTTTTATCATATTATCATACAACGTAAAATATGTTCTGCAATAGTCTCTTCTCTCAGTAGATCTATGTTCTTAAATGCCACTGGATAAACTGTATAATGTTTTTTTGGTAACTGATGACAAGAAAAGTCAAAAGGTAGATGTACATTTGTAAAGTGTGTAATTCAATATTTCTTAATTTTGTTCATTATATATTCCAAATAGAAACATAGAATGTGACGGCAGATAAGAACCATTCAGCCCATCTAGTCTGCCCAATTTTCTAAATACTTTCATTAGTCCCTTTATCTTATAGTTAGGATAGCCTTATACCTATCCCATGCATGCTTAAACTCCTTTACTGTGTTAACCTCTACCACTTCAGTTGGAAGGCTATTCCATGCATCCACTACCCTCTCAGTAGAGTAATACTTCCTGATATTATTGTTAAACCTTTGCCCCTCTAATTCAAGGCTATGTCCTCTTGTTGTGGTAGTTTTTCTTCTTTTAAATATGGTCTCCTCCTTCACTGTGTTGATTCCCTTTATGTATTTAAATGTTTCTATCATATCCCCCCTGTCTCGTCTTTCCTCCAAGCTGTACATGTTAAGTTCCTTTAACCTTTCCTTGTATGTTTTATCCTGCAATCCATGAACCAGTTTAGTAGCCCTTCTCTGAATGCTCTCTAAGGTATCAATATCCTTCTGGAGATATGGTTTCCAGTACTGCGTACAATGCTCCAAGTAAGGTCTCACCAGTTCTGTACAATGGCATGAGCACTTCCCTCTTTCTACTGCTAATACCTCTCCCTATACAACCAGGCATTCTGCTAGCATTTCCTGCTGCTCTATTACATTGTCTGCCTACCTTTAAGTCATCAGAAATAATCACCCCTAAATCCCTTTCCTCAGATGTTGAGGTTAGGACTCTATCAAATATTTTGTACTCTGCCCTTGGGTTTTTACGTCCAAGATGCATTATCTTGCACTTATCCACATTAAATGTCAGTTGCCACAATTCTGACCATTTTTCTAGTTTACCTAAATCATTTGTCATTTGGCTTATCCCTCCTGGAACATCAACCCTGTTACATATCTTAGTATCATTAGCAAAAAGACATACCTTACCATCAAGACCTTCTGCAATATCACTAATAAAAATATTAAAGAGAATGGGTCCAAGTACAGATCCCTGAGGTACCCCACTGGTGACAAGTCCAAGCTTCGAATATATTCCATTAACTACAACCCTCTGTTGCCTGTCACTCAGCCACTGCCTTACCCATTCAACAATATTGGAATCCAAACTTAAAGATTGCAATTTATTGATCAGCTTTCTATGTGCAACAGTGTCAAAATACAAACAAAGTTAATTTAAGATAATAAAGGGACTAAATTCTGCAGGGCATAAAGGATTAAACTGTACTATTAGGTAACACTGATGTCTATATGATGCCATATCTAACAATGGCAAAACTCCTTTTTTGGACTTTGGCTTTAGGACATTTTAATTCAGTTAAAAAAAAAAATGCACTCAGACAGCATTATTAATAAATATTACCTGTTCCAGTTCTTCTAGACGGCTTTCAAGCTCTAATTCTGTAAATGAAAGTGTAGAGTTACAAAAATATATTCTTGGTCACCCCTTACTCAATCAATCATATATGCAGTGCTTCTTACCAAAATTTGAAGGTCTTCTTAGAGGAATGTGTTTATTAAGGAGGAATGATAATAGCATATCCTGATGATGAATATCTTCTTTCTCTGGAAACAATTCATTGTCTGGAAAACATTAAATTCAAATAACGAAATATTATCAAACACGTCCTCATTGATCAAAATCTTTGGACAGTTAATTAACAATTACAATATTTTAGGCTGATGCCTGCTCTGAATTATTACAGTTAGAATATTGTGAATAGTTTTCATATTGACGTAGTAAAGTAAAGAGCTCAGTAATTGTAATACTGAATAACTAAATAAATATGTAAAAACTAATAGCGTTACGAAATGGGACACTGCTACAATTTATGTAACCATAAGATGCATGCATTTTAGCATGAGCATGGTTTCACAGCACTTTACATATAATATCACACACACACCAAAAGCTCATAGATTTAATGTGCCACTAAATTCATAATCAATGTATAACTACGATATACATTTAGTTGATTAAGTTATAGGAAAACTTCATTGCAGAATGCAGCATCTTGCACACAACAGTCCACGTTTTTATAGTGTATTTCATTTAAATAATCATATTTTTGGCCAATAATATTTGCTACAAATATCTCTAAATGACAAATATACATAGGAACATTTTGACCTAGCTAAGCTGTCTGAAACATTTGTAGATGCATAACTAAACAGCAATCTACACACTGTAAAAAAAGACTTTGAAAGCAGTGAAAGACGTACCTAATGTCATGGAAATACATACGTATTTCAATATAAAAGAGTAAAATCATACTAGGGAAGACATATTGAAACATGTAACTTTTTAAATCAAAGGATCTTAGCATTAAACATGTGACTAAAGTACTCATCATTAGTATTAGTAAGACTTTTTATAGTAAATATTCAGCAACAATATACAAAAACAATCGTGATCTATCTATTCCACTTAGCACTTAACTTCGGTGAATGCCTCTCATAAACATTATATCTGTATATCTGCATCTGGAAGATTTAAGTTATGTTTTCAAGTATTCCTACATGCAAATTAATAACCAAAAAAGAGCGTACATGACTCAGGCAAGCCACAGCATGATTGCTTACTGATACTACTAAGAGATAGATAATAAGATTGGATAAATCTCACTCAGGCAAATGCTCAAAGAGAGCTTCTAAGGACTTTATCATTTATACTTCATTTAGGTTCTGGGTTGAGAAATAGGTAAAATAATTGATTTGACAAATGGATTGCATGATTTTAATATTCAGAAAGCAAGAAGGTTTGACTTATAACTAACTGTAATTAGATATATAAACATAATCTTTGCTGTTATCATATGAAACTTATATTTTCTAAATATCATAATGCTTAATGTCTATCTATCTATCTCTATCCATAAATATATACACATGCACTCATAATATATAGAATTATTAAAACCTATGTAAACATACCTTGCAATAAGTAAGGCTTCCCTTGTACAGACTGCGTAGATATTGTGAACAGGAAAGTTAGTGTCCCAAGGCACAAATAAACTGAAGTTTTATCCATCTTTTTTCTTCCAGGTGACGGAACAATGTCGAAGCTTTGTTTTGAATGTGCATTTCCATCATCTGTGCTCACTTTTAAATGGTGGCAAGAGTCGCAATTGTGTCATCTTCCAAAATATCCAAGCGAATATAATTCATCCTGTCAATGGTATTCAATTCTTGGAAAACTGACAAATGAACTGAGTGAATTCTTGACGTCAAACCTAGGTCAATCTATCTTGAATATTACCCATAAAATGAGTACGTGGATACTCATGCTAAGTACAAAGAAGAGACTGGTGGCTGAATCTTGGTAATTTATAGTTACATTTCCATGCTCTCAATTTTAATTATGCTGAGATCTTTGTAATGAAGGCTCTCGAATCACTAATTGAATTGATTTTAGAACTCAGGTTTTTACAATGACATTTACAGTTCATGGCTTTCTGCTATGGTATTAGTTCAGAGAGGAGAATGATAAAATGAGGAGCATAGGTAGACTGAAGACAAATCTGAAATTTATCAAAAGGGAAAAGCAGGTCTTCAGAGATGTCAAGAGAAGTTGTAATACATGGTGTTTCTTAAGAGAACAGAAGACAGAAATTGACCAGTGGCTTGATTAATTTTAGATGAATGGATGTCCTCTACAGCAGGTGTGACACTAGAATTCTTCAGTTATATGTCAGTGTCACATTTCTAATTTTCTCTGCCACTGATGGGAGATGACACAATTTCAGATATGAACATGACAAACAATAAGTATACAAGTTGCGTGTCTCATGGATATTTATTATGTATGTTTTGTTTGTTTGTTTGTTTTTGCATTGAATGACTGCAAGAATTGTTTAGTTATGTTTATGACATTTTGTACTTTTTTTCACAAGGCCCTATGTACAGTCACTGTGTAATTTAGAGCTATCCAATAAAACATTAGTAATTGAAGGACTAGCACAGGAGAAATTAAAGAATTATCTTATTTTCTAAAATTTGAGGGTTGGAAAGAATCATAAAGAAGCACAATCTGCATTCCTTAGTAGATGATTAATTGAGAAGTAAAATATAAAGAATGAGGTAACATCAGAAAATATCAGACCTTTAGATCAAGTTTTTTTTTTTCTTCTAAGGTAACTTTACTAGCAGACTGGACCAACTTGTTCTAATTACAAATATGTGTTATTTTCTTTCTTAATCATCATTTTATTCCTGTTATAATTTATATGTTGCAACAATAATAATGAAAGTTATGTAATTAAAACTAAACAGTTGGCCCCAGAGCAACAGTTTTGGTGAATCCTAGTTTATTGTTCTATGTTTGTAGTAAAATATTGTACAAAATCTTCTAAAATGTGTAGGAATATTCTTACTAAAACATATTTTTTCTAAAGTATATTAAGAAATTAAAGCCAATAATTTAGGATAACAGGCATGCAGTTATTGACTGTCAATATTTACAGTTGTTCCTGTAGACTTATTGTCAAAGAACTCATACACTGGGAGGAATCAGACACTAATCAACAAATGTTCGAACATTAGTCAGTGAGCTGTCTAGAAATCAGATGTTAATATAAAGTTAAATAAATAAAATATGCGTAAAGAGAGGTGGGGGGGCAGGCCGTCAAGTTGACAAGAGGCCATCTTTCCCAGTTCTGGTCCTGAGCACATAAAATCTATATAAATACCATTCATTAATCAATTATATATCTGATTGGTTGCTGGGTTTGACCGGGTGAATTCCCAGCTCTCCCATGCTGTAAGTTCGAAGCTGATTGACCCATGGGTGAGGAAATGCAAACATCTCCTGCTTAATCCCTACCATGAGCTGGTCTTACTGCGGCCTTGGAGGAGACAGGCCACATACAGTTGGACCCGGATGGAAGAACTTGATGGAGGGTCCCTATCATGAATCTGGTGCCGATTTGTAAATTGGAAGACAAAATCACACTTTGATCATCAAGGCCTCAGACACCTCTTCCAATATGGCATCAGAAGTGGATTTATAGCCAGGTCATAAGCCAACTTCACAGCCCACTGTAAGAAGCTCTTACAGCCCACCTGTAACTCACAAAATGGGGTACCCTCAGGTCCCCACTGTTTTAATATGTGATGCCATTGATTTCTTAATCAATATTAGTATATTTGCTTACGTCGTGCCCCTATGGCCACAGCAATCGTTGATCATATTTTAATCTGAAAAATGTAAGGTTCTCGGGGGCCTATGCTCCGGGTGCAGTTCACGCGATATGGGTCGCGCTCATGTCTGTGGTATGGGCACAATCCTTGGCTCTACCAATGTGTCTGAAGCAATCATTCAGTTCCCCTTAAGGTAACTAGGTCCCCTACACCCCAAGAGGTGCCCCGCAAGTACTTGTGGGTACAATTATGTCTCCTACAGGTTTGGCACCATTCTCTCTGTCAGTATGAATAATTTAGCTCATACTTATGTATATAGTTTTTGTTCTTCGTCTGCCTGCAATTTTGTATTATGCTCCCTTATTGCCGCTCTGCGAAATGCCACTTCTCATGGTGTTAGACATGGGGCCATCAATAAAGCAATAACTCCATCACGAACCCAATATGGCCCAGGTTAACCTATTATCATTAAATGTAAGAGGTCTCAATATCCCAGAAAAGCGTTCCATATCGACACGAGTATTAGACAGGCAAAAAGCCAACATTATGTTTATCCAAGAGACCCATTATAAGGGAGAATTTCAACCTAGACTCAGATCTAAATATATTAACAAGGGGAAGTCAAGGGGAGTAGCCATACTGATGTCGTCACGCATTGCCTTCACAGAACTTGACACCAAGACAGATCCCGGGGGGAGGATGTTGTTTGTCAAGCGGAAGGTGAATGACCAGCTTATTACTCTGGCGAATGTATATGCTCCGAATTCGGGTCAAGTGGCCTTTGCTCGCTCATGCCTGAGGAAATTGGAAGGGTTTGCAGAGGGGATTCTTATAGTGGGAGGTGATTAGAATATGGTGCTTGATCATGAAATAGACAGCTCATCCAAGGCCAAAGACACTAAGTCCCATCAAAGATCACTGTTTCACGACATACTACACTCACAACAACTGATGGACTGCTGGAGACTGCTACACCCACAGGACAGGGATTGCACATTCTACTACACTGCAGCGGGCAGTTACTCCAGAACAGATATGTTCCTCACAGACACCTTCATTTGGTAAAGGAAGCATCCCATAGGTAATATCACCTGGATAGACCATGCCCCTATATTCCTGACTATACCCACACAAGGTGACGCTAGACACAATACCAACTGGTGCCTGAATGAGACTCTCCTAGATGGCCCTCGTGGAAGATCTTCACACAACATTGAATAGGTATTTTGAAGAGAATACTATACCCAGTTCCAATGGAAATAGAGAAATTCTGACACCTGTCAAATTTTCAAATCAACGCAGACAAATGTGAAATCTTAGGGGTTTCAGTACCGTGGAAATGGCAAGCACACATCCAAGAAACCCATAAATTTAAGTGGAAGGGTACGGGCCTCCCCTATCTAGGAATCCACCTAGCCACAACATCCTCAGATCAATATAAGCTAAACTACACTCCTCTCATGGAGGAAATTAAAAGAGACCTTAAAAAATGGGACTTACTGCATTTCTCTCTCATGGGAAGAATCAACATCTTGAAAATAATGGTCCTCCCTAGGGTGCTGTATTTGTTTCAGGTCCTGCCAATCCCCCTACCCGCCACATTCTTCAGCACCATACAAACAGCATTCATTTCCAACAAATGGGGCAGCAAAACTCCACCTAGCCTATACAATGCTGACCTCTACCATAAGCAGAGGGGTGTGGCGAAAGTGACCTCGCCACTGGTTTTTGGAGGGGCCTGTTTGCCAGCCTCTTGCCTTCTGACTATGGCCCCTGGGAGATTGTGCCCTTCAGAAACAGTAATTGGGCTTATGGACTCCTATTGGACTGGTGCTGGCCCTTTAAGCACATTATTGGGGCAAAATGAGAATTGGAACAATGCCCCTTTAAAACTGTGTCCCCAGAGTCCCCAGACTGTGAAAATAACTTGTCTTTTTCCCATATGGTTCGGTAAATGGGGCTTACCGAACCAATTACCGAACAGGCGGACCACACACAAGTGGAAGTGTGCAGCCTTTTTACCTCTCAGGCTGGTGGTTAACCACAGGTTAATTGCCAACCGCTGGGTGGCTGCCATTCGTAAAGTCGAACACGTGGCAGCGGCCATCTTTATTTAGTCGAACGCAGTCAGCGTTGTGTGCCGTCAAATTTATGGAACTGAAATCGGCAACAAAACAGCACGAACACCGCTGACCCTTACCTTCTCTGCAACTTCAAAGCTTTGGCTGAAATCGAAGTGCGTTCGACGATTCGAATGCACAGTTATACTGGGCTATTTGCACTCAAATGCGCCCCATTCATGCACTTGAATTTTCTGTGTAAAATAGACCGACAGCACAGCCCAAATCTAAAGAACTGTTTTGGGCAGGAAAGCCATGCTTGCGGTCGGTCAAATAGGACTTCCACCTAACTTTTAAGCCACTGGGGGGAATTGTATGATTTTTGAGTATGTTTGTATATGGAGTATGTTGATTCAAAATATGTAACTTTTATGGAGATTGCATGTATATTTTAGGAGTTATGAATATTGTATGAAACTGGGTATTTTCCTGCCTGTGATAATTAAGTTAACCCATTGTGTACAGTAATTATATCACAGGCAGAGGGGAGGGTTTGTGTGTCATAACTGGGAGTGTCTGACAGTATTATCATGTGTTTTATTGGTTGTTCCACAAGGCCACGTGGGTGGTAACCTTGTGGAGAGATATGTATAAAAGAAGCAATAAAACCCCAGCTCAGCCTGTTCCTGCTTACACTCCAAAACTGTGTTTCGTCCTGTTATTGGAGGAAAGATTTGCTCCTGTGTCTCCTGTTCCAGCTTACAGGAGATTCACCAGGGGAAGTCCTTGTAAGGACTAGAGCTAGTTCCCAATTTGGTTCCAGAGTTACCAGGACTGAGTAGTGTCCAGTGCCTGGAGGTGTCTGCTGGAGTGCTTGGAGTCCTCAGGAAGTGCTTGGAGCATCCTTCAACAGAGGTACCCAGTCGGGGTGCCAGGTGATCCATTACAAGGGGGTATTTGCCTCCCACATCTGTACAGATACTAAGAATACAGGAATGGACCGCCACAGACAAGAAAAAAAAAATCTTGGTATGCCCTCTAGCAGAGTTATGCAAAGGCACCTCTACACTCGCTCCCATGGCAAACATGCAATATTCATGTCCTCACCCCCACTGCTCACCCCATCATATCGCACACATTACAAATATGGAGAAGGCACAAAAACACCTGGCTCTAGGGACAACCTCCCTCTTTTTCCTAGCAAACAACCCTGTCTTTCAAAACGGAAAAGGTAGCACAATACTATCCCGACTGATGGGGGATCTTACTCCAGGCATAACCCAAGTACTGACAGAAGGAGACCCACTTAAACTAAAGGTTTAGGTGTATGACACTGCCGAATAGTCACATGACAGTGCTAGGTATCATGGGGGTAGCCCAACTTAGAAACTTTTTACACAAATCGGTTCTGCCATTCTGGCAGACTAGAAATAAACCCCTTTGAGCTTATATGTGGCACAGGGCAGGACCACAGACGTACCCTGTCAAAAATCTACTGTATACTCCAAACAAGCTCTGTAGAGCAGCAAGAGGTCTCGTTCCAACAAAAATGGATGAGAGGACTACATATCCATATGTCCAATCATGATTGGATGCACCTACTGGAGGCAGGGATCAAAGCCCCGGTCAGTAATTCCAGGAAGGAGGCCTTCTATAAGAGGGTCAACAGATGGTATAGAACCCCTGTACAGCTTCATACTTACGGGCCAGCAGTAAGTGATAAATGTTGGAGATGCAATGGGGAACAGGGAGATATGGGACACATTTGGTGGCAGTGCCAAGACATCACCCCCTTTTGGCAGCAGGTATTATCAGATATTACACTGATCATCCCTTTGAAAGCCCACCTAACGCCATCCCAAGCCCTCCTAGGTTGGCTTAACTCCACTAGTGAGAAACCCAAACAACAACTACCAAACATAATGCTGGGTGAAGCAAATGCCCTCATCCCAGTATACTGGTGAAAGACGAGTATTCCACTAGAGAACAGTGGGTGCAGAGGGTGGAGAGCGTGAGGGAGCTGGAGGAAAATCACTGGTCAACATTAGGGAAAAGGGATAAATACCTAGGCACGTGGTCACCGTGGATACGATATTGGAAGAACACACCTTAGGGACTCCAAGTTGGTAAGAGAGGGCCTCAACCTTGAGAAGATACGTAACCACACCACTACAGATCAGTGATGGAATAGCAGAGAATCTACCCAGTTGCAGAATTAGGCAGACCCCCCACCTTCCCCTTCCCCCATGTTGTTCCCCCTATACTAACCTGCATGAGTCACACAAGCTAGATATGTATGCATATCGAAGCAGACCCAACCTAGCCAGGGGCGCTATAGCCCCACTCAAGGGAACCCCACCAATTGCATATAGGAGGGAGAGCTTCCCCCGGAGAGGTGAGACGGATAGTCAAATGTACTTGAGAACTTACACTGAACAAAATAACTCCTAACTGTGAAATACTACAGGGTAGGATAGATGGTTGGACCTGTATAAATTTTCTTTCTCTTTGTTAAAAACTGAATGGAATGTAAAAGCCTTATGATGTTTTACTGTTAAAATGACAACATGCTACTTCCTCTTTCTTCTGTATCCCATTTACCTGTTGATATTGAAAATAATAAAAACTCATTTTAAGTAAAAATTAAAAAAAATCTCAGTTAGCACCAAGGGCAGTTACTAAAATTGTATCTAACACTCAATAATTTGCATATGTTTAAACCACTGAATTGTAATAAAAATGTGTCTCGCTTTTCATCCTCTTCCCAGGACAAACTTAATATTATACATTCAAATAAAAACCCATTTAAAACAAAAAAACAAATGACTAAAACCATCCTGACTGGAAAATACAGGATAAATTTACTGAAATCTGTAAAGACTCCAGTTCTCCAGTTTTGAATAGAATGAAAATGGACAAATTTGGATGGAAGTGGATTATTGTTATTTATATGTAGTACCTAAGAGAGATAATTTTATGGACATTATTTATTTGTTCATTTATTTATTTTCCTATAACAAGCATGATGAAATTCAGCAGTTGCCACCTCACTGTATATGCAGTCTATAGTTGTTCTTTATCTAGCAATTACTACTACAACCGATTTCAATGTCCAAAAGGTAAAATGATGTGGAATTTTGTATTGCATTATTTAATTGATGAATATCTTAAGATTTGACTTCTGTTATTAAAATATGTATTGAAATATTTGTTAGCACAATAGTATTGATTTTACTGTAACAACATGAAAAACTAAATGTGAAGTATTGTTTTTATGCGGCTATGCCATTTGCTTGTGATGTCCTTCTAGTTCCCAAAGGCTTGACTAACAGAAACTGATAATGTCCCTATCTGAAAGTTTGCGACTTTAAAGGACCACTCCACACCCGAGTGCTTTATGGGTGAGGAGTATCCCATTTCAAAGGCACTTTATAAAAGTGCTGATTTCTCTGAGAAATCAGCACTATTATAATTAATTAATGAAACATTCTTTGGGATGTCAAACAAACAGCAAGCAATGTTTGTTTCTACTTGAGTGAGCCTCCTTCCCCCCTGGAAACATTCTTCTCAGATGTCAGATCAGAACACTAAGGAGGCATGCGCAGGAGCAGAGGGATACCTTCAGAAGCTTCTTATTAAGAAGCCTCTGATAGGCTAATTCCCTGTGAAAAGACTGTTAATCTCTTCCAGAGAAATAGGGGAGGGCTAGCAAGGCTGCATTTCATAAGAACTGCAGCTTTAGAAAGCACTTTAAAGACATACACCAATGAATGCATGCAAGAAAAATACTAATGTATATTCATTGTGGGTATTCTACTAATCCAGGACATACTCGAAAATGAGAGAAATCTCAATGTATTCTTCCTGGTAAAATATTTTATAAATAAATAATCAGTGCGTTCTTCTCTGTTGCCATTTGGGCAGTGTAGTGTGTAGTGTCCCTTTAAGAAATGAACATTGTTTGCTGGATTCATAATATATTTGTTTTATGAAATTTATGAAAATGCTATACTATACTAAGAGCATTAAAGGATAATTTATTGTCAAACAAATTGTGAAAAAAATGGGTTTGGCTGTGGTACCCTATTCATATACTATAGTAATATAAATATTTGTATATTTAATATCAAAGTCATGCCTGTGCAGAATTCAACCTACAAAACAATTAAATAGGATTTTCTGAGCTTTCTATCTTTATTCCAGGTTGATGTGTCTTTAAAGTCTGAGGACTTCATTTAATTTTATCAGCTGAAAATAGACGATAATTATCAACTATATTTTGGTTAATTATTTTATTGAATATTGGCTGGGATTAATATTTTGGACCCATGTTAATCAATATTACCTCTACACAAAATTAGCATGGAGGGCACCCTGTGTCACATTACAAAAAAGAATACTAATGAAAATAAATAACTGAAAAAATAGGTGCTCACTTAAATCCCCATTCACCACATAGTTAATATAACTATCATATACGGAAATAAAGAGGAGAAGACGCTCTATAAAATTAAAATTAAA